CGCAATATGGCCAAGTGCACATGAGGCAAATCGCAGAATAAATATGCAAATCGCAAGAGCTGCAGTGTGTTAATAAAGGTAAAATGTGTAACAAAATAGTATTATAATGAAGTGAGATGCTCTGGCCTACAAATCTGGTTCTCCAGATTTAAGAAACTATGTTTATTTGGTACAAACCCCCAAAAACATGATTTTTGATTATTTCAACTCATTTTTTTACTGTGTGAAAATTACATTTGTGATGAATAAATTCCCACAATAAATGTGAATCAAATCGCAATATCTGTCAAAACAATCGCAATATGATGTTTTTACCATGTTGTGCGGCCCTAATAGTAGTAGCGACATACTAGTGAGCAATTGGACTGTTGCTTTCCGCCCCACTCCTGCAGTCATGTTTTAAATAAGAATATACTGATAACCAGGTGCAGAGATTGATTGGATGTCTTTAGCCTTCTCATTACTTCAGTCAGGACTGTCTGACAGCTGTGTGCTGTATTTGGTAAGGCTGCAGTTACAGACGCACAAATCTGCATCTGCCATTGCCTGCTTGTGCCCTGTTTATACTCGTCCATGCTACCAGCTACCGTTTCACAGAAAAACACATCTGACTTACGTCCAGTTAGAATATCTGTGAAGTGAGTTGTCTTTTTTTTTTTTTTAAAGTGCACTTAAGTTAAGGGAACCACTGCAGATATCCACAAGCCCGTGTGTGAGGACCTCCAGAGCTTGTTGAAACATGCAGGAGAGAGGCCTCAGTACGCTATTACATGGTGTACAGTTTTCTGCTGACTTGCCACTTTCTCTGCAAAAAACTTTTATACTACTTGCAAGTCTGAACTAGTGTACTTAACCAATTCTGCTTGTTCCTCTTCATTTCTGTTTTTTTGTGCTTTCACAGCAGCATTAAATCAATTCTTTGATGTTCCTCATTTTCAAATGCAGTCTTACTTTCAAAAAGAAAATGGATGTGTTACAAGACGAGAGAAGCCTTAAAGCCTTGTCTTTACTCAGTTTCCATCAATTACAGTATTGTTGATTACATGCCTCTCGTATACCGATTCTTGAATATGTATATGTGCCTACAAGACCCTAAGTTATTCAGAGAAACCATTTGAAAGCCGGGCATCATAGAACTTGTTTTCATCCACTGCAATAACCTAGTTATTCTGAAACTAGTGTTTACACACACTTAGTCAAGAGTTCTCCCCTACCCCTTACTTGACATATTTTGTGTGATTTAGTGTATTGTGCCGTGGGTCTTGGCACATCAGTGAATTAGATTGTATTTTTATGGGGAACTCTGATTGACACTGCAGTTCTGAAACTGCAGTGGAAACTGAGCTGGTCCCGGCATCACTCATTTGTATATGCATCCTATTTTGCAGGCTCATGAAAGACTCTTGGGAGCACCACCGTCTGGCTCTGGAGCTGCAGCTTTTTGTTTTCACTCCTACTTGTCAGAGGACATAAAGAGAAAACTTTTAAAACTTCCCCCACACTGAGCCACTGGGTGCTTTTTGCCTTTTGAATCTCACTGCCTGCGTATTTATTGGGCCTTAGTTGACAATGACCAACGTCCCGCCTCTTCCTGTACCATTATCTCTGCATGTGTGAATGTACCAAAAGTCCCCGGAGACATGGAATGCCTCTCAATTGTCGCTTTTCTCTCTTTATCTACCATCCCTTTCATCCGCAGTTTTTCACATATCTGACGAGATGAGCTGAAGTAAACCTCATCATAGTCCCATGAAAAGAGTGTGTGCGTGTGAATGCTTTCATGCATCTAGTGTGATCAAACTGCAGATGAAAGGGATGAGACGTTAGAGAATGGGAGACGCTGCTGAAGTTTGCCGTAGGTTGCCAAATAGTTTTCCCGCCCCTCCCCCTCCCGTCTTTGATACTTCACTGAGAATCCCTGCCTCCTGTAATTGACATGCTTTTGAAGTATAGTAGCAGGCTAGTCACACTCACATTTCCCTTCTGAGCCCACATGGCCTACCCTTGGGATTGGGGCTCTTGGGATTGAAGATTTCACATCCAAGGGACTTCAGAGTTATGATTGGAACTTTGTTTCCATATTATAACTGGATATATGCAAGATTTAGTATTTCTGTCGGCCTCTGCACTGTTGATTTTACTGCTTATTTGTTGTTGTAAGAGACGAGGGGAAAACCTGCACACAATGCTGAGAATGGTCAGTTAAACAGTGGTGGAAAGTAACTATATTTAGAGTATACCAATTTTATGTTAGTTTATACTTACATTCCACTAAATTTCAGAGGGAAATGTTTTATTTTTTACCGCACTACATTCATTTTAGAAATATAGTTACTAGTAAATTTACAGATTAAAATTTTATGTTAAAAACAAAACACATGATGCAAATATGTAGAATTGTGCAGCCATGGTGGAGATACCCTCCTTCTGAGCACTTACTTGTATTCATATGTGGACGGCATGAGCATGTTAGGCTTTAATAACTAACTAGGTCATTTTAATGAGACTGCGTCCTACTGTGATCATCTTAAACTATATATAGTGCTACGCTAACATGAATATGATGAAGTGGCTATTTTATCTCATCGGGCTTAGTGCACGGTGACTTTTCTCAACACACTAAAGTCAGTGTAACATTGAATGTCTCTCCTCCTCTCCTCTATGTAAGTCGTCTCACTTACACAGGGAATGAAACTCTGTAAATATTAGGATACAGGCACTGGTTTGTGTCGCAGACATGTTTGCAGAGTGTTTGGTGATTTAAGTAAACAATGTCTTTGGAAGATGGTGATGGTGGTACTTCCTCCTGTAAAATACGGTAACCTCATATAGTGTCATATTAGCTCACTGATTCACTTCACCACATCTGGGTTGAGCGCCTTATGGTTGGATGTCACTTTATATGTTGACCCTGCCACGACTCTCTGCCTCAACAAATCTTTGAACAGTTATTGATATTTACATAATAATGTCTGTGTCAGTGAAGGAGCTCTAAATACACAACTTGTACATTGTTTATGTTGGTCATATAGAGGCATCAGTATTAAATTAAGGTTTCATAACCTTGTTTAAAACTCCCTGTAGTAATTTTAAGAATTGGACCCATCTAAGACTTACTGACAATAGGCATTTCTTTATGTCAAAGTTGTATGCATGATTGAGTGTTGTTGTTTAGCAGTTTTTTTTCTCCACTGTAGCTCATCTATGGGCTTGTGGAACTGAAAGGTTGTTGATGGATTTAGCAGTCCTCAGCTCGGCTCTGTCCTCTCTCTGGCTGTGGTTGTTCTTTTCTAGTCGAGCTTCATCTTGTTGCTGGCCTTTACCCTCTCTCAGGTTTGGGTTTTCTCATTGCTATGGTGATGGGTTGGTCTGCTACTAACAACATTGTCACCACACTTGAAAAGTGAGTGCGCTGCCACCAGCTACAAATTAATAAACAAATAAACAAAACACTGTAAATAGTAAAATCATGGTTTGTGCAGTGCATTCTGCTTCTAGGTGGTACTGTAGCATATACAGCCTTTGGAAAACCATGGCACAATACTGCTGAGAGTGGAGATCAGGTTTCGTGTCATGTTTCAGGCTCAATTTCAGCAGTTTCCCTGACAGCATTGTGTGTGTGTGTGTGTGTGTGTGTGTGTGTGTGTGTGTGTGTGTGTGTGTGTGTGTGTGTGTGTGTGTGTGTGTGTGTGTGTGTGTGTGTGTGTGTGTGTGTGTGTGTGTGTGTGTGTGTGTGTGTGTGTGTGTGTGTGTGTGTGTGTGTGTAGTTGTGGAAAAAGCACTATTGCAATGTTTTGCTTGCATACAATAATATATAAAAATATTTTGACATTATAGATAGTGCGAGCTTCTCCACAGAATGGAGCCTGTGTGTAACTCTTCTAAAATGCTGACAAATTTGTTTTTTGTTCGGCATTATCAGTAACAGCAGCAGTTTAGACCTGTAAATATATTGAATGAGCTGTTGTCGGTACACAATAAAAAGCTAAATTGACTTATACAAATGCATTTTTTGTAACCAATGTATTCAGTTTTCAAGGCGATCAACTGGCAGCTCAGCCTATTCAGGATTAAGCGCTATTCCTTGTGCATACAAATGTCTTGACGATGAAGTATGACAGTAGTTGTGTTGCAAATATTATCCATATATAGCTTCTACCTAGTAGATAAAGGGAAAAAATTAACATAAAATACTCATCAAGACTCCTTACTGACAGTCTTTGCCAAGTAATCATTGTCTTATAGTAATTTAGGGCTGCTCTAGATTTATCAATTAATTATTTGGTCTATAAAATGTCAGAAAATAGGGAATGAATGGACTCCAAAACAGACACCATCACATCAAACAATATAGTTCTACATGTTGTTTTCCTGAGATAGCAGCATGGTTAGAAAGTTATGAAGGATATGAAGCTGTCACCCGATATCATAAAATTAAAGTGACTGCAATGTCAGCCCTGTGGATGTGGACCTGCAGCTTTAGTCAAATCTGCACCACCTAACATCAACTAAAGTAACTGCACCAGTAGTTTAGATCCGCATATGCATCTAGCCACGCCGGCCAACAATTTATGTGAAAGTGCATATTTAAGTGGCATTTTCAGTCTGAATGCAGCTTCACACACCATATGCAGTCATAAGCACTCTCTCTGTTTCCCTGTGTCCTCTGTGATGGCAACAGATGATGTTTTTGTTTACTGGTAAACCCTGTTTCTTCCCTCCTGTCCTCTTAATATTTCTCTCTCTTGCTGCCTAAAAAGGCATCGAGTGACAAATTTGTGACATTCAAATAATAAAATAAAATAAAAATAAAATCTACTTTTAAATTCTCATTTTCATCCCTTTCCATGTTAACAGTTTCTCCTCCCTTTTCTCAAACATTTTGTGGTTATTTATGTGTTCTCAGTGTCTGTCACTTCTTTCTATCGGTCTGTGTCTGATAACAAAATAGTGGCTGAGTAATTATTTTTCTAATTCCAATCCTTTCTCTCTGTTTTCAGACTGCCAAAGGCTATATCCTCTTGTTTGATGTGCTGGGTGGAGGGGATGACAAGTACCTCTATGAGCCTGTCTATCCAAGGTGAGTGCAACACAGATACAAACCCTCACACAGAAAACATGCAGAGGGAAACCGAGCAGAAAGAGCAGAGCTTGCAGGGAATCTACACAATCTTAAAATAATGTGTCCCTTAAAGAGCCATTTAACAATCATTATTATGCATGTTCCATCAATCTTTAACTCCTACTGTATCAGCTGTGAAAACGCTGTATTGTATGTACAAAACGCTTGAATTGATCAACTAAAACAGCGGGCAGTCCGACATTAGCCCTGCTATCCCCGCTGGGGCTGTTTGCGTGCTGCAGTTCATCTTTGAAATAGAGTGTCAAGGTCCTCGTTATAGTGTGAGACCGGCAGAGTCTTGTTAGCAAGTAGCCAGCAGCTGTCTGTCAGTCCAGCTGGCAAACAATGTTAGTAGGAATATAAGAGCACTTTTCTACTAAATCCTCTTATGTAATGTTGTGCTTGCTCATGACCAAATGCGCAAGAAATAGATATATATATATACTGTGGTTATATGGTTGATACAAGCAGATAGTGACACTTTAGCTAATAATTGCTGCAACTACTAATGAATTTCCATTGTGACAAAATACACTACATGGCCAAAACATAGCACATATGTGATTAGGGAAGGATGATGAGATGGAAGACTTTCCAAACAGCTCTTGACCAAAAGTGCACAAAACTTGAGAGAGGTGTTACGCTACCATTCCTGATACCTGAACATTGCATATCGGCCGATACCAAGTACCGATCTGATACGTGTGCGTTAAGAAATAGATATATATTATTATTTTTTAACGACCGTATAGTTTATATGTAAGTATACTACTAAGCCTGTGTGATTGCAATCATTGTTGTTTGGCCTGGCTATGGTTAAACCCTTTTGTCAGAGTCAGAGTAGGGCTGGTCACAACTTCGCTATTCTGGGAAAGAAAATGGAGAATGGGACACTGTTGGGAAGTAGCAAGGTCCCATTTCAGGGTGAATGAATTACGGGGTATCGAATCGGTGCACAGACCCGTGTACTTCCCCATACCGCATTTTACGCAGTATCGGAGTTGTTCCGATAATGATACTGGTATCGGAACAACTCCAACAAAACAACGCTCATAGGGATTTCCGCATGCTTTTTCCTGTGTGTGTCGCTGTGTGTGTTTCACATTCCTAGACAGCATACCAACAGAGGTCGGGACAGGCTGGGACATGTTGAGAGAACCTTTTCAGTTAAAAATATGTTACCTCACATATCAGTAAAGCTACTATCTATATTTGATTTGTCTTTGTGTGTTTGCACAGAGGAAGTACTCGTGTGAAAGTGACCCCAGGTTATAAGGAGGAGCAATGTGCCCCCGCTCTGTCTTTAGAGATGAAAAAGCCGGTGGATCTGGAGGCCCCCATCACCAGGTAGGGTGAAGTCTTAGTGTCCTTTTATCTCTGTTGTGTCTGTCTGTTTCCCCTTCATATTCACACAGCACAGCAGTTTTATGTTTTGTTTTTTTTACCCCTCCCCTTGTGCATAGCTACAGCAATGTTTACATTTTCATGCACGAAAAGTTTCTTCTCATTTCAAATAAGTAATTGAAAGTCTTGTAAATTACACACAGGTAAGATGCCTTCTTCTAAAAGCGTTGAAAGTCAAAACAAAATTGTGTTATTCTTGATATAGGTATGCCATTCAGTATCCACTCACATGTATACAAATTGTACATTTTTTAGCTTGCAGCATACATTAACCTGCAATTACATGGTTTTTGTGGATATTTAAATAATTTCCACAATTGCAGTAGCTGTTAAACCCACTCTTTGACCTATGAAGGGCATTTGGCTCGGAGTAGTGGCCTCAAAAAAATCTCCTTCCATGGAAAGTCAGCATTGGCAGTGAGAGATGGCTGAGCTGCTGTGAGAAGCTAAGCTCCTCCACTCTGTCAGTTGTAAACAGAGAGGCCTGCAGAGAGAAACACATGAATCTGCAGAGATGGAAGGGGGTGAGTGATGGACAGATGAATAGAGGTGGGTGGAAGGGTTTAGTGATGATTGATGAAAGGATGACAGAAGGAACATTTTTGAGTGTTAGCTGGATGGAGCTGCGTATTGCCAGGGCATTCAAATCAGCCTCATACGGTCATGTGGACAGTATTTAGACCATTTTCAGATTATAAACAATGCATTTTGGGTATTTAGAGATACCATTGCATCAGTCTCGGTTATCAGTTTAATGAGATAGATTGCTTCTCATGTTACCTCATGCCTGTGCTTAATTAATTGCACATTCTAAATGTTTTTCTATTGTGTTTCTATTTTGTGTTTTGGCTTTCAGCATCAGCTACATAAAACAATATAAGGATACATTTGTTCCTTTGCTTTCTTTGAAAAGGCTTGTCACTATTTTAATAATATTTAAATCAGTATCACCTGTATGAAGACAGCATTTACTCAGCTTTGCAAGTTTATTTGAATCATCTTATTTTCTATGTAGGTCTATTTTAAGGTTAATGTGCCCTGTGAAGAAAGGACCACAAGGATCCCTTGTTCATTGTTAATTTCTAAAACCTAGGCCCCCAAATTATAATAATAAGAAATATCCAAAGCCAAGGAACAAACACTGGAGTCTTGGATAAGAACCAGCGTCAACTTCCTCCTTGCTGACTCCTTTCAGTCAGTCTTTGCTAATTTCAGTTCTTTTTTTTTAAAGTTTCTTTCTTCACCTAGTCTTCCCACCTTCCCCCACATCCACCAACTCGACGTCTTTATTTTCAGACTGATAGAAACTGTCACTCTGTCAGTTTTCTGCTCGACTTCCTTTTTGTTCACATTTTTGTTTATCTTGTGTTTGTATTGTCTGTGTCTTTCATGTCCTTGTGCTCATCTGTCACATCTCCTCCACAGTCTGCACTGATAGAGATTATAGGGTAGTCATCTGAATGAGCGCATCCTGTTGGCATTTCACAGGCACAGCCTGAGCGTGCAGGAGATGAGTGGGTGTCTCCTGCTGTGAAACTACAGTAGAAGTCGTTGCCTCCTCCACAGTGAAAGTCCACTGTGTTTAACTCCCTTTCATTTCTCTCTTTCTGCCTCTTGCTTTACTCCCGTTGGTTGTCCCATTGTGCTATCTCCAGTTTTAGACACAATGAGGCGCTTTACACACAAACACACACAAATGCACACACGGTTGTTTGTTCCCTTGTGTATTAGAAGACAGTGAGACTTGGCACAGCCAGCCATGTGGCCTCATCACAGCTGGCCAGTAAAAGTTTCAGGCTTCACTCAGAGGGCGCAGCTGGATGATGACTAGTCCACTGTTTTCTAACACTCTGCGGTTTGTTATCTCGTTCCCACCCTTCCTACCTACCACCCCTGGCTGTTTTCTTTTACTACCTCCTCCACCGTTTTCTTTTCCTTTGAACCTCAATGCTCATTTCTACCTCTTTGTCCCACCAGCCTGCAGTCCCTCCAGGAGGACTTATTGGTGTGTACTGCAGATGGCTACCTCCACGTGCTGCACTGGGACGGGCTAGGCAGCAACGGACGCAAGGCCATCTGCCTCACTACAATCCCCTTCTCGCTAGACCTGCAGTCTGCTCGAGGTTAGAGAGGACCTGTGCACATAGCTAAACACAGGAGAAGAGGGCTGACTTGATTCTAGTTGGCAGTGTAAACAGTTTCAAATCACTTGCTAATGTTGGGAAATAAATTATAAATAAGGTGTTGATGTTAGGAAATACATTATAAATAAAAAGTTGACTTTTCAAACATGAATTCTCTTTTAAAAAATAATTTATAAAAAGTATATGTTACAAGGCTACAAGGGTCCCCATCTTGTCCAATGTTTTTGCTGAACTTCAGCTCCAGATTCAGTCTTATTGTTGCATACAATACTTCAAACACTGTATGTGTGTGCGTAGGTGGTCCCTCCCTGGACCTGGAGGGAGTGTATATCCGTTGTATGGAGTATTGTGTGACCCTAGATGGCTTTGCTGTGGTACTGAGTGACGGACGCCTGGGCTTTATCACACCACTCAGCAACACCATCACTGCAGATGTAAGAATACTCACAGACGCACACCGCTGACTTCAAACACGCACACAGTTTAGTAAAGAGCAAACACAAGATCCAAACCTAGATTAGGAAAAATGTATAAAAATTATAGCACTGAAAAGCTGATGAAAGTCCTCTTTACATCTAGCCATCATAGCCAGTGCTTTTACAATTGTTTATGCCATCAGTAAGAACTTGGGTATATGACTTCATCTGACCCCATGACAGGGGAACAACCAGGACCCATTTCAACCAGGAAAATCCCTCAATTGTATACTGATTTCTGTTTTGTAATGATAACCAGGCTTTTGTTTCTGCAAAGAAATTAGATGTTTTGCTTCACTTTTGAGTAGCTAATGGAATCTATAATCTTGTCATATTTGGGTAGATATAAAAGGCTAACAGTATAAGTAGTAAATAAATAGAGGCAAAATGAAGAAACTGAGTCCTCTTTGAGTGTTAAACATGTTAAACAACTTAAGTTAGAGAGCCGTCGATGGTCTGTCTGGTTTCACTTCATTTTATCAAATTTCAAGAGAAACTGTAGTTTTCCCAACGAGACAAACAGAGACATTTACAGAGAACAATTATCCAAACTGATGATGCAACATGTTCAGGTCAGCAGGGTTCAGATTTTATAGATAAGGCAGCACTGTATTTATTTTTTAATACCGTGATATTATGATTCAATACAAGGCTTGCAGCCATTACTTTATCTTGGCAGGATTTATACAGTAATGACTGCATTGGTAAAATATCTTTCACATTCAAATAGACTATTAACAAGTTGTGCTAAAATTTTGGCCAAAAATTACGTTCTTGAAATCGGTAAGTGGGTGTTGAGGTCACCATCTAGATATAAATGTGTCCACCAGATATAAAACGTTAAATTAAAGACGTGACTAAGCAGTCTTCTGATGTTTTCATGTGTTTCATTTAGACTTATCAAAAAAGTTAAATAATAGCAGTTAACGCACACTCTGCTGACCTGTAATTGACATCATACACACATTCAGTTATTTGTAATTTATTATGTTTTTCGTGTGTTTGTGCAGCAGCTGCAGGGCGTCTGGGCAGCAGACGTGACTGATGGCACCTGTGTGGCTGTCAACAACAAGTACAGATTGATGGCCTTTGGCTGTGCCAGGTACGCGTCCACAACTGTCTCCATGTCCATATCTTTACAATACAGTGATGGGAAGAAGGCTTGGGCGTGTGTTTGTTTGCATCCATGTGTTACAGAGATTGATTGTTGTCCCTGTGGTGTGGGTCCACTGTGAGAATCAGTTAGTTTGTGTTTGCTGAGGCCTACCTAGTGTGTGCTTGTGCAATCTGCCAGGTTGGCAGGAATTTCTCTTCCTCATTGCACCCTATTCTCCTTCTTCATCTATTTCTACCAGTTTTTATATGTTTTGTACCTCACTGAAACAACATGGACACACACGTGATGTTATAGTTTTGAGGTTAACTAACATGTCAGTACGGTGAAGAAGTTATATTAACCAGGTGAAATCACACACAACACAAATAATGACCTTCATTATGTTGTAGAGATGTATGTGTGCGTGTGTGTGTGTGTGTGTGTGTGTGTGTGTGTGTGTGTGTGTGTGTGTGTGTGTGTGTGTGTGTGTGTTCCTGTGAATGCCCAGTCACCTGCACAGACATGCAGACAGGGGAGTAGTTCAAAGCATATAAGTGTAGCTTGGAGCTATTTCTCCAAAATTACAGCTGCAGGTTACTTGTACTGAAGCCCGATTGCACTGATCCTTGAAGTAGCTGTTTCTCATACTCACACAGGCAACAGGTTATGGCTGTTAAAGTGTGTTTGTTTTTCATTACAGCGGCTCAGTGCTGGTGTACATGATAGACACCACGACAGGATCCATGCAGCTCTCCCACAAACTGGAGCTCACCCCAAAACACTACCCAGGTATCACCAATATGCACCCTGTCTCTCTCTTTCCCCCCACTTCGTCCCTCTCCTGTCTTCTTCTGTCTCTCTGTGTCAAACCCCTGCACAAATTCCTCCTTGAGATAACTTGCATTCCTTCAGCTGTCTCTCTCATGGGTGCACATGCTTGTGTTTCCCCTTAGTCAAACATCTGTTTAAGTCAGACTCCTGTGATCTCTCCTAAAGCCACAGCTCCCCCTAGTGGGAGAAGTGGCATGTAGGCCCACCTCCACTCTAACATTGAATCTGCAGGTCTTGAAAAGTCTTTAATTGTAATTAGTTTCCTCAAAAATTTTAATTTATAAAAGTCTTAAATATGTTCTCTTGTCTGAAGTAGGCAGTGATGTTCGTTGTAAAATATTATTGTATCTGATTGCAGGTATTTACAAATTAAAAATGGGATTTAAAAATGGGATTTAAAAAAGGTCTCCTCATTTTCACAGGTTGTCTTGTGACTTCTAACAGCATAATATCTTTTGATTTAGTGTCTGATATGAGAAAATAGTCCCAGTGCAGCATTTGAAAACAGATTTGGTTTTTAAAAATACAACTATAACTCAAACCTTCTGGGTCCTTATAACTTCTCTGCATTCTTTGCCTGTCCAGACATCTATAACAAGACGGGCCCAGTCAAGCTGATCTGCTGGTCACCTGACTACAGCGTTGCCATGGTTACATGGGAGTGTGGTGGCCTATCCCTGTGGAGTGTCTTTGGAGCTCACCTCATCTGCACGCTGGGAGAGGACTTTGCGTAGGTGGACACACACTCAAATTAACTCGTACACACTTAATGTAAACTCATATCAACCTTTTTTCTATTTATTTTTGTGTCCCCTTAGGTATCGTTCTGATGGTACTAAGAAAGACCCCATTAAAATCAGCTCTATGGTAAGTGAATTTATTTATTACTGTCCCACCATCTACATTTTAACATAAAACATAAAATTAAAACTCTTGAATTGTTAAGCACATTCAAGAGAGAAGGTTACAGAGATCATTAACCTTACTGAAATAATACAGTTGGAAAGGTTAAAAGCAAAGGTGTTGTGGTTATGTTAACATTTAGTACCCACTTAACCCTGTCATTTACAAGCAATTCGCTATTCATTGAAGAGTAACAGAGGGAACACAGGCTGTCGAACTATTAGCTGATTCTGTTCCAGTTAGAGTCATTTGTTTATTGTGAATATTTAAATGATTTTGGAAATTACTGGATAACATAAAGTGTGTCTGTTTCATGTAAAATGTAATTGCTGTTTCCAGAGCTGGGGAGCGGAGGGCTACCACCTGTGGGTGCTCCCTATCAAACAGGAGAGGAGGAGGCAGGAGGAGCAGCAGCAGCAGCAGGACGAGGAGGAGGAGGAGATGGTCACACCTCCTCACTCCTCCCTGCAGGCTGGCATACTGCAGTTCCACTTCATCAAGAGTGCACTCACAGTCAACCCCTGCACGGTAGGAGGAAACACATCGTCAGTTTTCTGCATACACACACATCCACACACGCAGACACATTAAACATTCATGCTCTGTTTGCTACTCTCTCGCCCGCACAGAGTAACCAGGAGCAGGTGTTGCTCCACGGTGAAGACCGCCTCTACCTGACCTGTGGTGACCCCACGCAAGTCAACAGCACCTCTGACACGCACCCGCACACACACATACACCCACGTGACGGTAGCCCACTGCACCATCCCCCCAACCCCGACTCCTCTCTCTCTCAGGGACTCAGCACTTTACTGGGGCACAAGCACTGGCACGTGGTCCAGGTAAGGTTGGGCGCTCATCACACCTGGTTAGGCAGGATTTATGTAACGTTGCAAGAGTTTTGAAATATTTCTTGGTATTCACAATTCCAAAATGCCGCCAGTTTGACACAAACAGCATAGCATTGCATTACAATTTCCTACAGCCCTGGCGTCATCAGATGTCTTGTTTAGTCAGATTCTCACATTTGAGAAGCATCAAATGTTTGGCATTATTGCTAAACTATTCGTCAATTGGGGAAAATAGTTGGTGACTCATTTTCTCCTGGTACTTAGTAGTCTTTTCTGGATAATAAAAGCCAAAAAAAACGATTGCGAGAACTTCATGATGATGCTGACAGCTAATATTGCACACAGCTAATATTGCACACAATCACAAGGGAGCTTTATTCATAAAGTACTTTTATTCATCAAGGCAATATCTTGCCTTTGTGTGTATATATTTCAATGCATAGGAAGTACAAGTTGATTATCTTTTTCTCATAGTATTTTTGTATTCCTATAGATTCACAGCACATACCTAGAGAGCAACTGGCCTATACGGGTAAGAGTGAGAATGTGGTTGTTTGTAATTTTCACAGAAACTTGTGTTAAATTGTCTTTGAAATTATCTCCCATGAGTATTCAATTTCTGAAGTTTCGTTGAATGTGATGTTATGTGTGGGAAACAGAGGCATCTGGTACCATAAACATTAATTACAGTTATTATTTCATCCAGAACATGTGTGCTCAGACTGTTAAAAACTGCAATATCCCAGAGTTTACAAAGCAGTCACGTCCACAGAGTAAACTAATCATGCTCTATTCACAAGTGCGTGTACAGGGTTGGGAGCTAGAGAAAATCTATATATACAGTACATCTGTAGCCAATACTTGCCAATACTTGCACCAGGTCACATTCCTCGTAGGCATAAAAAACCTACTTGGCAATAAACAAATTCTGATTCTTATTCTGATTCTGATTTGATATTATATTATATGGTCTGTGTGTGTGTGTCTGTGTGTCTGTCTGTACAGTTTGCAGCCATAGACACAGCAGGCCAGTGCATGGCTGTAGCAGGGAGGCGGGGCTTTGCACACTACTCCTTATTCACAAGGAAATGGAAACTGTTTGGAAATATCACTCAGGTATGTGACATTGTAGACTAGAAAATCAAAATGTCACCCTCTATAAATGGCTTCAGTTTCAAGTATCAATGAACAACTTGTGACTGCAATGTGTTTTTTTATTGTATCTTCTCTGTAGGAGCAGAACATGACAGTGACAGGAGGTCTGGCTTGGTGGAACGATTTTGTGGTGGTAGCCTGTTACAATTTTATAGACCAGCAAGAGCAGGTGAGACTTAAGCACCATTTACTTCACCACTGTTTCTCACAGATCCCACCATCTCTTTCTCTTTGTCGTGATTGTAGCTGTGTACGCATATCCCATTGTTGTCTCTCTGTTGACACTAGTTGAGGCTCTATCAACGCTCAACCAACCTGGACAATGCCTTTGCATCGGTCACTAAGCTGCACTCAGACACTCTGCTGCTCAACGTCTTCAGAGACATGGTCATCCTGTTCAGAGCTGACTGCTCCATCTGCCTCTATAGCATAGAGAGGAGGAACGACAGGTGGGCTCCTGTGTACACATGTTAGACCAGATCCAGATCCAGTCTTAATTTCAGAACCTCATTGCACTCACTATCGCATATCTGACATTAAGCTTAGCCCAAGGATAATCTCATTTGTTTTAATTCTCTTTTGGTCCAGTGTCGTCTGGTAGGTTTTTTTTAATGTGTAACAACGGTAGCAATAATGTGCCTGATGGCTTATACAGCCAAAACCTTTACACTGTTTTGGCTTATTCTTCACATCACAAATCCAAATTCTAAGTGCTCAAAACAAATGCTATTATTATTAAGAGATGACAGCATCTTTTGTAAACTCGAGGCTGTTCTCCATTCAACACAGTTTCTTTCTTCTTTCTCACTCTCCAGCACCAGGGAAATCCCTGGCACCAGTAATCATAATAGTGTTAGGTAATCGTGTTAGTCAGCCACATTTTCCCTTGGGAAAAAAGGCTTTTTAAAAGCTATTGACCTAAAACCCATCACATGACAGAACTGGGCCCCGCTTTACGTCTGTCTGGGACTATACATTGTATATAATTAACGGTGTTTGACCAGCTTCACAACATTAATGTCAGACTTCAGATTTCTGCTTACTTCAGTATTTATAGTGAAATTTCACTTTTTCAGGTATATTTAGTACATTTAACATTTATAACATTTACATTTAATCAGGGTAGTACAATATTTCATTATGCTGTATCAAGTTCTTTTCCAGCATTTCACTTCGAAGACATTCAAAGAAAATTATATTCTGCCCTAGCAGTCACATGCTGTTGCTGTACTACTAAAAGCTTTTTCAAAAACTTCAGAGTTAAAGTCTTTGTCATGTCTTCTTGCATTAATGTTTTTACCTGGAAGTCATGACTCTGACTTAAATTATTTACCTCCATTTGATGTTCCAGTCCACATCCGACAGCCAGCGTAGAGTTGTTGCAGGAGGTGTCAATGTCTCGCTACATCCCTCACCCTGCCCTCGTGGTCTCTGTCACACTCACCTCTGTGCGCACAGAAACTGGCATCACATTGAAGGCGCCGCAGCAGGTAACAGAGGAACACACATATTGAACTAGACTGTCTCTATAGGTGCATGTGCATTCATGTTTTAATGTGTGTGTATGTGTACATCTCAGGCCTGCATGGCAGAGAGCATCATGTTGAATCTGGCTGGCCAGTTGATCATGCTGCAGAGGGACCGTTCAGGGCCGCAGGTGCGAGAGAAGGAGACACCAGCCAACAATAAGAAGCTGGTGAGTCCGTCTGAGTTTGAACTTTTAAACGGCTTTATTCAGAAATGATATGTCAGAAACGTATTATTACAAATTATCCCTATAACTCTTTGTCCCCTAGCTACCATTTTGTCCTCCGGTGGTGCTGGCCCAGTGTGTGGAGAACGTGTGGACCACCTGTCGCTCCAACCGGAAGAAGCGCCACTTGCTGGAGGCCCTGTGGTTGTCCTGTGGCGAGGCAGGCATGAAAGTATGGCTGCCGCTGTTTCCCCGTGACCATCGCAAGCCCCACTCCTTCCTCTCCAGACGCATCATGCTGCCCTTCCACATCAACATCTACCCTCTGGCTGTGCTGTTTGAGGATGCCCTGGTACTGGGGGCAACCAATGAGACCGTGCTGTATGACGGCCTGCAGGGGTCGTCTGAACCACTAGAGGCGGTGTTCCCCTACTGCACCGTAGAGAGGACCTCCCAGATCTACCTCCATCACATCCTGAGGCAGCTGCTGGTTCGCAACCTAGGTGAACAGGTATGTGGAGCCTGCTGTCAGCTTAGTGAGGGAGTGATGTGATACCAGAGGAAAAATCAACACAAATACACTTTTACTAACACGAACTTTAGTCTGAATGTTTGCTTTCAGTGGACCGTGTTGGTGATAATACAAACAGTTCCATATCATGATCATGTTTGCCTACATAAACTGAGTCCATTCTTTCCACTCTTCAATGCTCCCTCCTCTACAGGCTTTGATGCTGGCTCAGTCATGTGCCTCCCTCCCCTACTTCCCCCATGTCATGGAGCTGATGGTGCATGTCGTGCTGGAAGAAGAGGCGACATCGCGAGAGCCCATCCCGGACCCTCTGCTGCCCACCGTGGCCAAGTTCATCACGGAATTCCCCCTCTTCCTCCAAACCATCGTCCACTGTGCCAGGAAGACAGAGTATGCCCTGTGGAACTACCTGTTCGCCGCTGTGGGAAACCCCAAAGATCTGTTTGAGGAGTGTCTCATGGCTCAAGACCTGGACACAGCAGCCTCCTATCTGATTATACTGCAGGTAGCGACTGTGGTTGGAAACGCGTGCTAACACACACACACACTGATGCTACACACATTTATTCAGTTAGCTTTTCATAGCATAATGCAGTGATTGTCAAAAATAAATGTAAAGTCTCATTGTGCATACCTAAATATATCTGTTCATGGTGTCATGACCTCATAAAACCGTCTGTCTCTGTCCCGCTTTGTAAAGAACATGGAGGTTCCAGCAGTGAGCAGACAGCACGCCACTCTACTCTTCAACACGGCGCTTGAACAGGGCAAGTGGGACCTCTGCCGGCACATGATCCGATTCCTCAAAGCCATTGGCTCTGGAGAGATGGAAACTCCGCCCCCAACACCCACCACTCAGGTAAAGAACTTCAAATAATGAAGGTGGAATTAACATGTAAAATATTTCTCATTTCGTTAATGTTTTCATCCATCCACGTTGAAATTCCCAAACTACTGAAATAGTAATAGCAAATTTTTATCATTTTCAAATATATCAACATATATCAAAGTATTTTGAGAAAAACCTTTAATTTGTTATCCATTTAATCTGAAAATTCCTGTTAGAACACCAATAAATGTGTGTGAATGCCCATGACAACAATTCATCATTAAGACATGACTCACATAAACACTTGTTGTGAGTAATAAGCTGTACTTGACATAGCAAATCTGTAAATCATTCTTTGTACCCACAAACACTAAACTATACACATGAAACAATGAACTGTGTATCTCTGTCTGTAGGAACCCAGCTCTACTGGGGGGTTTGAGTTCTTCAGAAATCGCAGCATCAGTTTGTCACAGTCTGCAGACTCCATCACTACGGGCAAGTTCAACCTGCAGAAGACCTTCAGTATGCCCTCAGGACCCCCTGTTAAAGGGTATGGACACACACACACATACAGTAACATAGAATGTGTATACTTGTGTTATGTTTTGTTCAAAATGTTCTCACTGTGTCATCTAAATTTTAAACTTTCCACATTTTCTTTCTCCATCTCTCCTTCTTCCTGCGTTAATTCCTGTCAGTCGGGATGTGGAGTGTGCAGAGAATATGTATATCGATATGATGCTCTGGCGCCACGCCCGCCACCTCCTGGAGCAGGTACGCCTCCGCGACTTGGGATGCTTCTCCGCACAGCTTGGCTTCGAACTCATCGGCTGGTTGTGTCGCGAACGAAACCGCGTGGCCCGCGTTGATGATTTTGTTTCCGCGTTGAAGAGGCTCCACAAGGATTTCCTCTGGCCCTTCCCTGTTATCCCTGTGGGAAGCCTCAGCTCACCTCTGAAGAACGGACGGTGTCGCACAGGTAAGTGACACAGAAGCTGTCTAAAGTGACCAAAGCTCACATATAAATGTGTAACAACACTGTCTTGTTTTTTTATTGTTCCCTGAAGTGCTGAGCACACGGCTGTTGAAGTCGCAGTCAGCTGACAGCCTGTTGAACAGCGACATGGACACAGCACCCCCCCAGGCGACTCCCTCCAACCACACCTGGATTGACGGCCTCGGACAGAGGGCCAAAGACATGGACACGGCCTCGTCTGCTCACTCCAACCAACACTCGCCACAGACGCATGATGCATTCCTGTCCCTGTTGACCAACAAAGGTAATAAGGCTCGAACAGTTAATCCCGTCTAACTGTTAACACAAAACACATTTTATTTTATGCAATTGTCTTCTCTTATTCCTCGTTGTTTCTCCTCCCCCTCTAGTGGAAGAGTACAGCGTGGGCTCGGCCACGGACTTGACAGAGACCAGCTCGGTGGTGGATGGTGATTGGACGATGGTTGACGAGAACTCTTCCACTCTGAGCCTGAGTCAGGCCGAGTTGGAGCACATCTCCATGGAGCTGGCCAACAAAGGCCCGCACAAGTCGCAGGTGCAGCTCAGGTGAGATACCATCACTGAAACCTCACTTCCATGATTCACTGCAGTCTTAATTCGTTATGTGCTTTAACTCACTGTAAAACCAAAGCCAGTATTTCACAGCTGTGCGTCTCTGTGTACCTTCAGGTATCTCCTTCATGTGTTCATGGAGGCGGGCTGTCTGGAGTGGTGCGTAGTGATCGGTTTGATCCTGCGGGACGCAAACGTAATAAAGCAGGTCATCGGCTTCCTGGACAGCCCCGAGGTTCCCCAAGAAACTGTACAGAGTGTCAGAAGCGGCTTATTGGCTGTTGAGACATGGGCCTCAATTGACTGGTGGGTATAGCATGTGACCTGTCCAGATGTGTATTTACTGCCCCTGCTTGTCTCTCAGTGCTGTTAATTGGCTTTTGTAAGGGTTGTTACTTACTTATCTTTTTCTTGTATCCCCAGTTTGGGATACAAACCATTTCTCAACCTGATCCAGCCGCAGCTGCAGCGGTTGATGGATTCAGCTGCCGGCGAGCAGGTGCAGCCCGAGGCCTTCCAGCCCTCCAGCCAGAGCTCCAAGCTCGGCGGCTCCGAAGGGCTGGGAGGCGCTGCATTGCCGCGGCCGGAGGACAGCAGAGGGGCGGCGGCTCCGCTGGGCCTGGCCTTGCCCTCCCTCGAACCTGCAGGAGGTTTTTCCCGCCCCCCTTCTGAGGACTGTCCTCCTGAACAGACAGAGGAGCAGGGAGAGGAGGAGGGAGCCTACGACTGCACCTTGTCCTGAAGCCAGGAGCCTCCTCTGGACACTAACCTGTGAACTTTAGACCCTAGAGAGGAGGAGACAGCAGCAGCAGCAGTGGCTTGAAATAGACTTTGTGTGTGTGTGTGTGTGTGTGTGTGTGTGTGTGTGTGTGTGTGTGTGTGTGTGTGTGTGTGTGTGTGTGTGTGTGTGTGTGTGTGTGTGTGTGTGTGTGTGTGTGTGTGTGTGTGTGTGTGTGTGCGCGCATCTGTGTGTGTGCGCGCATCTGTGTGTGTGCGCGCGTCTGTGTGTGTGCGCGCGCGTCTGTGTGTGTGCGCGCATCTGTGTGTGCGTGTGTGTGTGCACAGAAAGTACCTCTCCTGCAGGTTCTTACTTAAGTCAGTATTATCCACTCTTCAGATTTGCCCTTTGTGTCGACTAGAACCCCTGTGGATACTGAGCTAGCGACAGACAGCCCGACTGGCACAAAGACATCGCAGCACAACCAGAGACAGGGTTCAGTCTGATTGGTCCTTCTCTAACCGGCCTCATTGTACCAAAATGTGCTGTTAGACAAAAGGCCACCTATGTCAGTTTATACATCAGGTTGCGGTGTTTGGAAGCTGTAGACCAGCAGAGGAAAGCACCAGGCTTTTTTTTTTTTTTTTTTTTTTAATTCCAAGATAAATGTTTTGTGTGTGTGGCTTTTCTTTGGCACTCCTTCAAGTTCAACGGGAGACCTAGAACATTTTTTTATGTTGTGTTTTTTTTTTCCCGCTGTCCAGACAAAAAGCTCCATTGTTTCTTTTGGTTGAATGTAAACAGTGCAAGAATCAGTTCAAAGATTAAACACCTGCGTGTAATCACAGCATCATGCTACGTCGCTAAGCAAAATGTAGAACAAAGCTCTAGTCATGAACCATCACCGAGATTCTCTGAAGTGTGTCTGAGCCGACAGTAAGCGCGCAGGTCTGTTCGTGTGCACAAGAGGTGTTTCATACTTTCATACCTCATATGATTTTAAGATATTTTGTGATACCTTTTTCAATAATGTAACAGTGTACAAGATAACATTATTTTTCTATCAATTACACCTTTGCCCTCTTGAGTCTCCCTGTAAAGAAAAAGATCTCACGGTATGAATTCTATGTAATTCTTGAGAAGTGACGACCTTAAGATTTCTAAGAAAATTATCTCTGAGAAGAATCCACTGTTGCGAGTGCAGACTAGTTTCTTACCACTGATCAGTACCTCTGTTCATGTATTTTTCATGCAACAACGCCCCCCCATCACCCCGACTTTGCTGAAGTCCAGGCCCCACAAAAGTGTCCCAGAGGGGAGCCTGAGCCAGAATCAGCCGTCTGCTCTTCTCCGTGTGGTCCAGATTTTAAACATCAGTCCAGATCGGCGGTGAGCAGATTCAAGGTCCTGCAGTGCAGCGAGGGGCTCGGGCAAAAAAACAGACGCTATAAAAACCAAATCATGTGATGCTTTATCCAGCTTTTTTTAAACACACATTTGGGTTTCAGTCTCCATGTGGGAGATTCAAAATGTGTTTCCTATCATCAGCGAGGCAGATCATTTCATATTGTGTTATTAAAGCCATCCAGCTCTGTACATTGTATATCTATTCCTTGTCAAAAGCGCATTATTTGATTCCCTCGTCGGTAGTGTTAACGGACACTCAGTCGGTACCATTTTGAAGCGAGTATGAGATTCTGTCGCTGCCTCGGCTGCGGTTGTCTAATGTGACCCTCATCATCTGATAAGGACTTCTATATTTCGTCCAGTCCGATATGCATATCACATCCCTGAACCGCTTGAGACAATGATTACCGATTTCGCCACATGCGTTTGTGTGCTCCTGTGTGGATTTCTGAGTGCGTGTACCACATTGTATTGACATGTTTGGTGACTTTCATCACATGCAATTTGTTTTAATTGTATTAGTCTTCAATATTACTATTATTTATTGGCATTATAGCTGAGTGGTAATAACTGAATTGATGCTCGGTTTGTTTTTATGACTGATAAACGTTTCCCCCCTTTAGTTAATCAAGGTTGTGTATTGGCTCTCTACCATAAGCACTAAAAGTTTTATCACAGATATGTCAGTATTATATTGTGCAATGTATTGAAATGTTACTCAGCTTTATTTTTTCCATGCTTCTACTTCTTTTATCTCCCCCCCAGCTGTTTGCTTTTACTTTTCATGATAGACCAAATCATATGTTACAGATTTAGTTTTTGCTCTCTCGTCGGTGTGTACAGGATGAGTTGGGTGCATTATCTGTTGAGAAATTAGACTCTTCAAAGTTGAATTGCCTGTATAGTTAGAACACTATTCACAAAAAGGGCAAAAATGACTACGCAGCACAGTGTTGCTGTCGCTGATGTACTGTTGCCACTCAACATAAATCCTGTTGCACCCTCCACTCTGAACAAGCCTACAGCTACACTACGCTGCTGCGCTGTAAGCTTTACTTAACTTGAAAATGGTAACACGATGAACCAAAGACTTTATGTCCAGAGGCCTTCTGTTTTAACCGGTTGCTTCGACTGAGCGCTTGACTCATTATGCAGAGGGGAAAAAACCTCTCACACACACACACACATACCCCATCCCTCTCATCAGAAACTTAACCGTTGATGCTCCAAACTAATGCTGACAGCATATGAGACAATTTCCTACGGAAATGAATATTGCAGATCTTTTCTGGGTTCCTTCTCTGCGGGCGAGGAGAGGTTGGTCAGGTGTGTCAGCGCCCCCCCCCTCCCTCCTGTGTACAGTTGTAAAAGTATTGCCTGTTTCCTGTCCCGGAGTAAAGTTTTATTTCTGGGGTGGGAGCAGCAAACATCCTCAATGCAGTGTAAAGATACTCTCTTGTACATTTGCCTTTTCTACTCATGTTTGGTTTTCTACTTCATTTTTTTCCCTTGTACATAAAGACCAATAAATTATTTTTAAAAATGGTTAGTTTGCCTCATTGAGTCCAGCTGTTTGTTTTTTTTTTTGTTTGCTGTATTTCTAATTATAATCTGATCTGTTTTTTGTAGGTACATGCGATGAAATGACAGGATAATACAACAAACATTAACGTAATAAGAATTTTAATTGTTGTACATCGCTAAATTTTATTCAAGCTTTTTGCATAATGTAAAATCACCCCGTCCATTCAATAGAAGGATACCCTGTAACCAGATCAATCCCAATAGCAACAGTCATATATCAATCACTTAATTCCAAACAGACAAATATGCAATTTTAAAAAACGCAAAACAGCAGTTCAAAAGGAGAAACGGAACTGTTAGTTATTTAAAGTGTCAAATCAATCACAAAAATGAACAAAGTGATCATAGTTTAAAAAAAAACTAATATTAATTTAACTTTCAGAACAAAAAACTGAACAGTTAGAAAAATAGGCATGGGTGTAAAGTCAAGATGTTGGACGAAACAGAACAACAGTAACAATAACATAACAGTTAATTTTTAAAAAGGACATCCTTCAACAACAGGCATTAAGACATTTCAACATGTATCCCAGAATAGATTTCAGTTAAACTAATATGGACATTTGTGTGAATGATTGTTAGATTTTCTTTGACTGACTCTTACATGTGATAAAGATAAAGCTACATCCAAGTGTGAGTTGACACTGAACAACAAAAACACACTGCAGTCTGAACTGAGTCACATTAATACATTAGATTCTGTCGCAAAGTGGCTATTTAAATTCACTTTATCTTGAAAGGAGTTTGTTTTTTTTCTTCTCTCTCTATGTTAAGCTCTCTAGCAGCGCTTGGTGTGAGCTTTAGTTCAGTGGGAGCACATATGGCGTCAAATGAGCCATTTCACAGCGTTTAACGTCAAACATCTCCCAGCTCAGTCCTACGCCTATAGCAGTTCCTCCCCTGTGTTCTTGCTGTTATGAAAGCGAACGCACCCTTTTGTTATTCAGCATCCCATTTAATGTTATAATCAGAACATGGTCAGTTAGAAACCGGTGTCCTGTTCATGGTCAGAAATCTAAACAAGCTGAGTACATCTTAAACTCATCTGCTTTCTTTCAACCTCTAACAAAAACCGCTATGCCACTTTACAACAGATTTTTAGAAAAATATTAATTTACATTTGTTAATAAAGCTTTTTCTCCCATAGACACGACTGAAGCACTTTCAGTAAAACGGATATTCGATCTTCTGCGTGTCGCCTCACAGCACCGACGTCTACGCAACGTTGAACAAACCGTGGGTGTTTGTTCACTGTAGGTTTCCTCAAACCCATGGCTTACTTCAGCTGCAATGACTGAACTCTTAATGTCAGCATGTTACAGCATTTGCAGGTTCTCTGATCATTAGATGTTAAGTCAAAAGGACAAAAGATAGACATTTCAGAAGCCTGGGTCGCTTTTCGCTGTCCACAGTAAAATAAAAAAAAATGCACATTCATGGTTCAGATTTCCAAGTGATGCTGAGCTAATCAGACCAGGCTGAACAGTGACGTTCATCTGACACGTCTGAGTCAGCCAGAAATAAAAATGCTCCATCAACAACCCTGTTAACTGATTACCCACGGATGGACTAAAGAACTTAAATACAAGGCGAGTTGAAACCTCAGAGAGCGAGCGAGGTGATCTCGCTGACTGATCACAGTGCAGGACACACCTGGCCAGCTGTGCAGAGTGAAGGAGAAACATCTGATCAGTCAGTTAGTGTTTCTGTTTGTGGTACATGTTATAACAGCTGTAGAGCAGCACAGAGTCAACGCAGCAGCATCTGTTTCAGACGAATAAATTATTAAATATATTAAAAGAGGACCATACTGGTGTTGTTTTCCCAATGTTCTAGCACATTTACATTCCAGCCAACTATTTTACACTGATTCTTCCAGCAGGTGGCTGTTTCTGTTCACCTGCATTTGAACAGTATGCCTGCTTTCACTGTTGTAAGTGAAAGTAGGGTTATGTGAAGTATGTATGAACTGTTGTAAACGGCTAAAATGTAAAAAAAAAAAAACACGGGTATGGTCCTTTTAGATGAACACAAAACAACCTTGATAAGCAATATAAAATCTCTACATTGTTAACCAAAAATGTTACCAGCCAATTCAATTTAATTTCATCTTTCCGTCTTACAGTCCAAGTCAAATTCATAACAGCAGATGTCTGATTTAATATTTTGTTTTGTTTTTAAAGGACACTGAGACCAGACGTTTTCTTCATACTGCAGTCAGCTGAGAAGATTGTCTGGCTTTTTGACTAAAACAATTTCACCACAGGAGGCACTCCTGGAGCTTTCAACTGTATCACACCATCTTCCTCAGCAGATGGAGTACTTTAAAGACTTCTTGTGCATGTTGGATTAAAGCTGCAGTGTGGGCCAAACCCACAAAATCAAATGGACCTGTGATTGGCTGAAATCTCCCGTCACAGGTTAGATTTAAGACTAAAACCTGAAAACAGAGCCGAGAGGGGGTGCTTAAGTCTAGTTTTCTCTCAAACCACCTAAATTAAAATCTACTAACAGGTTATTAAAGAATTTTTGCCCAATGATGCCAATAAAAAGCTGCCTACCCCCGCAATAAAGATAGAAATGTGATGTTTATTAATGACTTTTAACCTCAACTCGTAAGCCGACATGGATGAGAAGTCAGAAAAAATGTGTACATCTACGTTTCCATGGCTAAAACTGAAAGGTCCAGAATAGCTACTGAGGGGAGAGATTGTGCATAAATGAAAGGATCACAGCAGGACAATGTGTTTTCCAACTTGCCAAGTGCTGTTAAAGGCTGTGAAGGATTTTCAAGTTCAAATTGTCCAACAGACAACAGTTCAGGAACATATAAACTCTGTACAGTGCAGCACCCGATAGCTTTAAGACCACTGAGACGTCTGTGTCCACAACAGTAATAATTTTGTGTGTCTTTGGAAGCAACATGTTAAGGCCTCCTTCGTGTCAGCATTTCTTAGTTTTGTGTCACTGAATCCAACATGAATCACAGCGACGTGTCACCGGGTGTAAGTGGACAATAGACAGTTTTGCTCAGTTGCTCAGAGTGCAAACGAACGATCTCCCAAGTCTTTAGAAGCCTGATTCCACCAGTGATTACATATCGGTGGAGTCAAACAGCAAGCAACAGTGTGACACTTGTTGGGACCGAAGGCAGGGATGGGACGGTCACTCAGATTTTGTTTTATCAAAACGCTAAAACAGGAAAGACATCTCTTCAGATAGATCTCTAAGTTTCCACTTGGTTAGCAGAAAACAGATAGAAAACATTCAAACTAGTCTTAACGAGAACATTAGTAACTGTTATCTCTGTGTCAGAGACTACATTATGATCCCTGCGGAGGTAGTGGTGATACTGAAGGGGCCAACTATACTCAGAAGTGCTTGTCAGATGTTCAAGTAGCTTCAAAAGACACCCCTTTTCTATTTTATTTTTTTTATAACTTTCCAAAACCACCAATCCAACATTCACACCCTCTTCACACCAGCTGAAGGTGAGAAAGGAGCCAGGGATTGAACTTTTTCTCTCTAGCTCTAACAGACAACCAGCTACAACACTACCAATAAAAACAGGTCATATAATAACTGGATTGTGGTTGTGATACTTGGGCTCTGAACACAAAAAGACGCAGGTCCAACATGAGTGAAATAGAAGCAACACACACACCCCCCGAAAATGAGTGGACAACAGTTAACACTATAAGCTGTCTAAAGCAGCACCAATGCATTATTATCCAGATTAAGTGGTTAACGTAGTACAAGTGCGTTGATAATTAGCTGAGAAGCCATACCTTGTTACATTTCTTTCTTGACTGGGTAACAGAATTTAATTTCACCTAAAACTATCTATATGCTTTTGGTGACGCTTTATTTTTACAGGTGTGTTAGTTCCAAATAACTTCCTAGTAAGTTTCCTGTAAAGAAATATGCAATTTGGTTCTAACTGCAGGGAAAATATGACCTAATTTTCAAGAAGAGTTTTGAAAATATTCATTCATTTATCACTGGAAGCCGTATTCTCCATATGTGCTGAACTGTATGCTTGCATGTAGACTAATTTAACGTTTTTGCAGGATCAGCTGGCAACTTTATGGAGGTATACCAACTGAACATAGTTTCTGTGTTCCAGATGATCACTGCCAAACTGCACAGTTCTTTCCGGGAAATTATTCAGAAATTGCAGACCCGTAAAGTAAAGCATTAACTGTTTAAGTATAACGTCTATATTGCTACATTGATTTGCTCATGTGGTTTTTTAAGGGGATTCCAATGAAGCAACACAATTTTATTCTGATGTGAGTTTAGTGGCTAAATTGATTGAAAAATGCATCAAGAAATGATTTACTCCATCTACAGCCAACATGCACAGTTTGATTAATCCTCTGGACTATGAAATGTCAATAAGGCTCATCCGAGCTTCCCCGGAATCAAAAGCTGACATCTGTGTAGATATTTCCTTTGCTATCATACACAACAAAGAAAAGCAGCAAATCTGACCATTTAAGGAACTGGAATCAGAAGATTTCTGGCATTTTTGCTTGTAAATAACTGCAATATTTAATCGATTATCAAACTGGCTGCAGTCTTTTGATTAAACTCACTGAATCTAATTGATTAATCAATTAAATGTTGCGTCTCTACCTTCTTTCATTATAAAAAGATATTCATTGGTGCTGCCAGAGACAGCTCGTAGCACAGAGCAGAAGTCAAGTTTGAAAAACAAATATAATCACAGTAACATGTAAATAATCAACACTTCCACATGAGACAAGCTGACGGACACTGATGCTGTTAATGAGCGTGAAGTTGCATTGCTGGTTTTCCACCCAGTCCCCCTCAAGGCTCAGGGAATAATTTACAGGACATGTAGAGTCCTGGTTTCCCTCTGAGTTCTGGTCTCATCAAGGCCAAAATTACACATTTGCTTGAGCACATCAGAGCAAAAACTTATAAAGACCTCAGAGAAGACCTCAACAATACTCTTGGTGCAAAATCTTCAGGAACGCTGCTCCTTTTAAAGGACATCTTGGCATTTTGATTTTAGCCAGCTGTTTTCATTAAACAGGCACAGTTTTCTGCATCTGCATGCCAGATTCTCTGACAATTAAAGCAGATTGTTGGAATTCCTCATTGAAACGCAGTGGTACGACTTGCTGCAAATCAGTGGTGTTATTGAGGAATGATAATGAGCTAGTTCACTGTTAAATGATTAGCTAATACAAAAACTATTTGCTCGTAATAAAAACAAGTGCGTGTTGATGAAAAGCGACTTTCAAAGTGTCAAAGTTTCCAGTTAAAGTCCGGTGTAGCCATGCAACATTTTTCATTCAGGAAGAGTGTTTGCATGAGAGACAAAAAAACAAGAGGAAGTCAGCAAGAGGGAAAGTAAGGAGGGGAGTGAGATGGAGGGACTAAAAGCAAAGGCACGACAGATCGAGTACAAAAAAAATCTTAACCCCTTCGTTTCATTAACCCCGGAGTGAGCACAAAGGCTTGCGGTGGCCGGTGCGTCGGACGGTGAGTTAGTCAGTCCATAAGCCATCCAGTCAGCTTACCTCTGGCGTGTCTCAGCGTGTCTCTTCCTGCTCCGTTAGGTACTAAGCCCACTGACACAGTGATGGAGGTCTCTCAGGCAGGCTGGGAAGGAGCGTGAGTGTGTGTTAGAGTGTGTGTTTGTGTCAGAGTGAAAAGGCGGCAGGGACGGTCCTCAGAATTGTTTCTTGCAATCTTCTGTCTCTCTGTCTTGTGGGCCCCTGCAGCCCTCGACTCTTACTCGGCATCAGCCTCCGTGATGTGTGGCGTCCTCAGTATCGGTACATGTCGTAGGTGCTGACCCAAGACGAGGGAAAAGCCCAAGTGGGAAACCTGCGGAGGATTTCCTCCAGCTGAGCAGTCCTCTGGTCTGGCCCAAAGAAATAGTGGGAGGAGATGGCAACAGAGATCATCCCCTCAGGGCCCGAGGGGTCCGGGTCCCTTGGAGGCTGGCAGAGGGAGAGAAACCAAGAAAACAATGAGGAGAAAAGTAAACCAGCAGCTTTTAATAGGCCCTCAGGAAATTCCCCTCGTCTTGATTACGCTGCATGTGCTTTAGCTTAGGCAATGGGTTTAGTTGAGTCCATGGAGTTTGTGTCAACCAATGCAATTGTTAATGCAATTCAAATCATTAAAATTGGAGTTTAAAGGTTTTCACATGACACAGTCCAACTGCAGGAGCTTATCTCCTGCAGACATCACTGACAGAGAACCTGAGGTGAGGCAGAAATCTAGAAATGTGAGGAATGAAAAGAATGATGTACCAAAAAAAATCAGTTGCATCTGTCTGGATCCTGCAATGAATTTCAGGCTGTCAAAGGTGCAGCGGTACCTGATGATTTATATCATATTTTGGGCAAGGACAACATTCTTAAAAGAGAAGTCTGACATGTTGAGAAATAGGCTTATTTGCTTGCTTGCAGAGACTTTGATGAGAATATTGAAACCACTGTTGGATATAAAGTTGGAGCTAAGAGACTGTTAGCTTAGCTAGCTGGAAGCAGGGGTAAACAGCTAGCATGGCTCCATCCAAAAGTGAAGAAATTCACCTACCAGCACCTATTTCTCAAAATGAATAATTATCCCTTTAAATATACAGGTTATAACAAATATACATTTTAAATTGAGCTTTGTCAATAAATATTTTGTGTGAAAAAGTTCAGTTTCTCTACTGAATGGTGACAATGACAAAGACTTTGCCCCCTAACAAACGCCCCCCACAAAAAAAAAAACACACACACACACACACACACACACACACACACACACACACACACACACACACACACACACACACACACAGAGCAGAGATATGAAATGTTAATAAGTACAAAAGTACAGACTGCCCTTTTAGCTGCAGACAGTACCTGTATTTCAAACCAGAAGGTCCATGTGGGGGCGTCAAGGCCGTGGGAATAGAAGATGAAATATTCGCCGCTCAGGTCGAACTGAGGCTTCCCGTCACCGAATGACCACGTGGAGAGGCTGGCTCCCCGGTGAGGCATCAGGTACAGAGACATGTGGCTGGGACCTGCACGGGGTACAGGACAGGACCCAAAACTGAATGTGCTGAAATTCTAATGCCTTGATCAAAACTACTCATAAAAATCCAACACATTCAAATGTAGCTGTTCTGAAACCTCTGAGCTTGTCCCACTATCTTCCTCAGCAGACAGAGTTTGCTCCAGTTGTCATGGAATTGCAGATGTTAAAATTTCTAAGCTGACGTGGAAGATTTGAGATGTCCATACAGTGCTCAGAAACTTGAACATCTACATTCTTTCTCAACTGGGCAAACTCCCTTCTCCTTCCTTCTTCGTGTCATAAAGCTTCAGAGCAGCTACTAAATGCACTTTGTGGTGAGGTTATTTTATCAACTCATTGTTTCCAAGAATTACATTTCAATCAATAATTCAACGTTGTTTCAAAATGGCAACCCCTTGTTCATACTCAAAAGTCTCTACAGTCATATTCTCAGTGCTGATGGTAAAACTGGATATTGTCAGTATAACCAGCCAGCTCTGCCTGCTATGTCTGTGAATACACAGCCATGATTCTCCTGCACTGGTCACATGCTCAAGTCCAACTGGAATCACATGGTGTTCAAGTCAAAGTTGAGCTGCAAGTCTCTTATCTCTGCATGTGACTCACAGAAAGATAACCTATCAAGATTTGTGTTGGTTTTGCCACATGAAGTGCTCCTGACCTTTGGCGCTGAAGGTCATCTTGATCGTCCCCCAGCTGGTTTCCTCTTTGGACAGCAGGCTGAACTCCACTGGAGAGCTGGGAGACACTTCTGGAGCAGGAAGGTACCAGTTCTTCCTGCAAACACAACCAAAATACTCGAATACTGGAAACCTCTATAGATGAGGAAAATACCGTGAAACTACAAGGCTGTGTTACTGACTTGCTGAGGAACTTCACAGGCAGGAACCAGGGGTAGCCACAGAATGGTCGGTCCTCACGGCAGTGGGTGCGGACGCTGTCATTGATCTCAGGGACGTGGGGTGTGATGTGCTGTATGCCTGTGTAGTCAAAACTGTTGATCCACAGACCTGAGTCCTGGCTCTCCACCTGGCCCTGGAGATTGTGGAAGGTCCGTGTCGTATGCTGCAGAGAGGTGGATGAAACATTTTTTTAAATAATAAAGTAATTTAAGCACATATATTTCCTTCAACCTGTTTTACTGAGTGTGCAGTATCCCGGTCACAAAACACGTCACATAAAAGGACTTGTGTTTCAACTTCTCCCACCAAGAGGTTTTAATCATGCAAGGAAGAGCTGCACTGCAGGATGGTTAGTGGAGATGAAGCTGAGAAAAACTGACCAAAAATGTATAACTCTGCAGCAGCTGTCATGGAATAAAACTTTTTTTATGTTGGATTCAGGCATCAATGCTTCTTCCATTTTAGAAAGGACATTTATTTTTCCTGTTTTTATTTGTATTTTTTACTAGTCAAATTTAGTACTCAAATATCTTAAAAATCCAAAGTGGAAAAGACAAATGTACAGTATTTTTACTTTTTAAAAGTAAATGAAGAAAAAGATGTAAATGTATGAGTGATTTCTATGTCTTCTTCTTAGCGAGAATTAGAATAAATGCGTTGTATGCAGTGAGTTTGTGCTTCGGGGTGTGTGTGACTCTGAACCTGTAGGAAGACTCGTTTTGGCCGTGGGCTGTCTGGACTGTCTGAGTAAGGAAAGAGGAGGCCACAGGACATCAACAGGAACACAACGATGAAGACTGAGCCAAGACCAGCCAGAATCCACTTAGTGCTGCGCACCAAGTAGATGAAGTGCAGCTGAAACAGACAGAAATATACAATATGTTACTGGAGTGGAGGAGCAATCTACACTGCTTTTTTTAAAATTATAACAAATATTAGAAGTAGCAAATTTGGGTTAAAAATATTCTATTAAAACAAATATGGTATCCAACAAACATTTGATTTTACTGCCACTCTATTGTCAGTTGGTTTGCTTATCTGAAGTCAAACAACTACTGTCAATAAACTGCTCAAAGAAAACATTGCTGCCAGAAGCTTGACCAAAACAATAAAAACTGTTTGCTCATGTTTATTCTGCTCTGTATCAAATCCCCAATTTACAAGATGTTTTGGTTAACTGTTGCACATAATGTGGGAACACTCACAAAAAAGGAGGAGAGGAAGATGGTTGCCAGAGTTACCAGGGAGGCCAGGACCACCTCAGGGGGTATCTCTGTGCCGCTGCGACCCATGATGGGTGTGAAAATCTCAAACACCACCCAGATGAGGAACATAAAGTGGACATACGGCAACGCCAGGCCCAACAGATAGAGCACACTGTACTTCACCGATGCTCCTGCAGAAAGATGGAGAGGTTACTGTCTGTCAGTCTGAACCAGCCAAGGACAGTCAGGCTCGAATCTTTTGGAAAGAACTAGTTTTTGAAACTGGTCATCCAACTCATCTTAACAAGGTCCAGTACAACATTTAGGTGAATCTATTGGCAAAAATGGGATAGAATATTCATAGGTATGTTTTCATTAGTGTACAATCAGCTGAATATTGTAATCATTGTTTTTTCGTTACTTTAGATTGAGCTGTTTTTATCTACAGACGCCGCAGGTCGCCTTCCATTGTGGACTCCATGCAGGGTCACCGTAGTTTCTCCTACACACTACACAGCCCGTTCTCATTCCCAGGTTGTCAAATACTGACGCGAGCAGTGTTCACTTAGTTGCAATCTGCAACTTCAACCTAGATGCCACTAAATCCTTCACTGAAATGTTGATACCTATTCCAAACGGCTACACTCGAAGGTGGATGAAAAGCCTGCCACCATAGCCTCCTCCTGCCTCCATCTCACAGCTGCATGATATGGTAAAACAATCATACTGCAATTATTTTGACAGATTGCAATTTAATTCACGCTTCGTGGGAATGATCATTTTTGCACATTTTTTCACTTCTACTGAAAAAAAAAACTATTAAAATCATGGCGTAACATTTGTTGGGGTCTGGACCAAACATATCTGGATAACTGTAGGTCAGGACATCTCTGCAGCACTACAGTACCTCATTTTAATGATGATTTAGATATTGCACTTTACAATATTTTGATTAATTGTGCAGCCCTAATAGGATACATGCTAAATGTTAAAGAAGTTGCTGTGTGATCAATTAAAAAGGGAACTTGAGAAAAGATAAAAACTGCTTATGTTTACATTTCTGCATAGACAGACAACCATTGCATAAAGTGGGCGTTAAAGTTACAAAAAACTGTCCATTTTGTAGTTGGCAATGGGTTTTTCAGAAGTCGTTAGACCCCAGGTCAAGTGGACAGTAGGAGCTAGCAATAGCAAACATTAATTTACTTATAAGCTACCTAATTCTGCTCTTAAACTGAGCAAGCACTAGTTTCCAAAACTAAAAAAGCCATCAATAAGATCATTTAACAGTGGCTTACAGTCACCTAGTTTGAAGTACTTTAGTCTAGTATTATATATACCTATAAATAAACATTAATTGAAATTAAAGTTGAGTTGAGGCTGTGTGTTTACCTCTATGTTTAAATTCTTTCGCCAGCAGTAGTTTGGTGGCCAGGGGGAAGGCCACCATTAGCATGGGCACGTAGGCTGAACATAGGCCCTGATGGGTCAGCCACACCAGGCTGCAGCACCACAGCAACAAGCTCACGTCAAAATAGAGATCACCCAGCTCCACCAACCGGACGCCCTGCATGGAAAACACACACAAACAGCTCAATATACGAGGAATATGCAGACACGTCAGTGGGATTTCTATTTTAGCTGTATGTTGCTTTGATTGATACAGAATAAACTGAGGAAACTGTCTTTGCCAGAGGAAGAGAATATCACTGTGATTGATGTGAACATATTGCTTTTTTAAAGAATCTTTTACTCTGTATATTCAAATCACAAATAATATTAAATACATCTTTTTATGTATCACTGCATAAAAAGACAACCATTAACTCATGACTGTTGGGGATAAACTCTAAACAGGAACAAATAATCAATTATATGACTTGGTACTTCCCAGTTCCCACAAGAGGAACTTTTTCACAGTGGCACACACACTGTTGTAACCTGAAACTCCTACTGTAAACTAAACAGGATAACAAAACCAATGAAAATGGTTTGGAAAAGAACCTTTACTAATGTAGAATTCACTGACCTGATTTACCATACATTACAGAATGAGAGGCTTGAAATATCTTATTACAAAGCACAACATCCCTGAGTGCACAAGGCCGTACTGTTCGATTAAAATGAACATAAAGATCACAGCTTCACTTAGAGGCACTCACCCAGCTCTTTCCTCACATTGCCTTTTGAATGATTTGTCAGCCAGCTGTTATATAGAAACACCTCACACAGACACACACAAACATAATAAAACTATACATCAGCATACAGGCTGCCACACAAATAAATCCCCAGTGCCTGCAGTGGTGTTTGTACAGCAGATTCTGGTCTTGACTGGACTACAACCACACACAGATTATCAGAAGGTGAAGATTACCTGCATTCTGGTTAAACCCCAAAAGTGACTCCCAAACCAGGGGCTACTTGTACCCCAGCGAGTTCTTTCGCAATTTCAAGGAGCACGTGGAAATAATGTGGAGTAGCTAATGTAATCAAAAAGAATATATTATTTAATAAAGAAAATAGTTAGCTAAAAGTAACAGATAAAAATGGAATACTTAGCTTAAAGTATTGAATAGATTGTTGAACTAGAACTTGTCAAAAGACCATTGCAGTAGTCGACCCTGCTAGAATGTGTGAATGAGTTTTCTCAGGTCAGCATTAAACATAAAGTCCCTGAGTTTGCCAGTATTTGTAGGATGATGCTTTTATGTGGCTATTTAAATTAAGATCAGGGTCAACTATAATGCTAAGCGGCCACCACAGGTCAGGGTTCAGTTAATTGTTAAAAATATAACGTGTACAGATGAAGACATCTATTTTGGTTGGTTATTACATAGTGCTCACATATTTTGTAATAACCACCACAGTAAGAAACCATTTATTACAAAACACAGGATAACGTATTGCGTTCATGCAATCGAGTTATTGCATAATGTGTTGTTACGCTCCCTGTAGAGCCAGTGTTTGTTGTAGAAACAGGTTGGACTCCCTAGAAGAGGACAGGCTGCCTCTGTAGATAAAAACGTCTCATTCTAAGGTAAACTAACAAATATTATTTTCCATTTCTGCCAATAGCTGTTCCTAAATGTTACACTGGACCTTTAATCATTTCTGTCTGCTCTAAATGAAACTTGCCAGTCATATGTAGACTCTATTGTCAAAGAAAATACCATTTAAAATGAGGACAAAAATATATTCTGCTCTTTCAATAGAGGCTTTGTTACATTGGAGATGACGCCTTATGTGGTCTGGGAGAAAGGTTTGTCTGTGTCCTTTCTGGAAAATGGCCATGAAAAGCTGGAGTTCAAAATGTGGTTTGCTCCAGATAAAAAAATAAAACTTTCTGTAACGGTTTTAATCTGTGTACAAATGTTAGGCATACAATATGTGAGATGAACTGCAAATAGCTGCTCTAAAGTCTGAAACTCTGGATATGCAAGAATAGGCTATGCTATTCGCAGGCACAGATGCTAACATTTGATAGCTGAAAGAAACACAACATACTCTCTCCTCAAAAACCACAGTGAAACAGGTCAACTGGCTCTCAGCAGCAGACAATACTTCGGTGAGTGTGTGCGAAAGATAACTGCTGCTCTGACACTTCTACAGTTTCATAATCACACACACACATACATACAAAAAAAAACTTCTGTTCTGTAATCACCATGACCATCATTAAATGTGAACTCAGCCAGTCATCATGAGACATTAGACCCATGATGACTGAATAATGTGACCTCATCTCAACAGGAAACAATATTTCCAAAAAGGCACTGAGGAGAGGAGTTTGATGAGAATTTGATCTCACTGTGAAAAAAACCAAAAAAACAACCGTGGACTTGCAGTTCAAACTAAACTTTTTTTGTGCAATTACAAAGCACTCCAACATTTACTGTAGCCTATATTTAACATTCTGCCCATATAAATACTGTCTGCACATACCTCCAAAGTTAAAGGAATAACATTTTGGGAAATATGCTTATTTGCTTTCTAGCCCAGAGTTAGATGAGAATATTGAGACCTTTCTTTTATCTGTCAATTCAACATGAATCCCAAGTTAGAATATGGTTAGATTAGCTTAGCATAAAGACTGGAAGCAGCAGCAACTTTGGAGGCCTTGAAACAGGCTAATTGCAAGAAATCAAATAAATGTTATTTCCCAAAATGTTGAGCTACACCTCCAAACTCCACTTACCCCGAAGTACAAGTTCTTGGCCAGCGTGTGAACGAGGATCATCTTGCCCGTAGCAGCAGTCCCATACAGGCATATGGCGGCGTAGAAGTGGTTGTACCAAAACATGGAGCGGCCGAGCAGAGTGACGAGCAGAGCTACAATCAGCACTGACAGCAGCGTGACAATCCAGCTCATGACTGCTACACCTGTGGCGCAGGCCAGATCTCGAACATAGCGACCACCTGAGAGAGATAGAGACGAAAAAAAAAAACCAGCTCATCCAACTCTTCTACGGAAAAATGAAATGAGTTTAACAATATAGATTTGACCCCACAAATTGGGACTGTTCAATTTTTCAAGTCTGATATTACCTCTTGCATGAAAGACACTTGAATAAACTACAAAGAGGAAAACAACGCAACACACACCGATAACAGGAAATGACATAACATGCAACCACCAAAGGAAATGGTGACCTACCTCCATTGCCTGGCAGCGAGGCCTTCTTGGCCAGATAAAGGAAGGTGGCTGTGGCGACCATGTAGTTGAGGATGGTGCCAACGCGGGCTGGGTAAGCCACCACAACTACCCCTAACAGGTCAAAAAATACCATGTTGCCATGACGATACTCTGAGGAATCTGCCAACTTCTCTGACTTTAACAGGTACTTCAAGACCGCCAGGATGTTGTCGCCTGAAAACAGGAAGTGAGTTTTAAGGTGAAGAGGTTGAAAACTGACACAGAACACAATAAAGTTCTGTTGCATTCGACTGCAATGATCTCTGCAGTACAGAGTAAATAGTATGACAGGAGGACAGCCATATGGGAGAAGACTATGAATTCATGGGCAAACTAGCGAGAGTATGGTTTTTGGTTTCCACTCTTTGTCATTCTACATCCACAATCAGACAAAGGAAATGGTTGATGTGACTGAATATGAAAGTGATAACTTCACTATCACATGCCAAAAGGGGCATCTTTTATACAGCTGACATATGCAGCGGAGAGTTTATTGATGACTCAGTATAACTTTCTGACCAGCAGGGACATGTTACTACACTGTGATAGTAGCCTTTGTCATTCCTGCATGGCCACCCAGACAGTATTTTCTGCAGCAATAAACCGTGTGCACATGAACACCATGCAAATAATTAAACAAATGAGATACTAGTCTGTTCCTGTGTATTGAGCCTACAATCTCTGCTTTAATCACCAGTTACACTACCTACTAATTTTAAATTATGGAAGACAATTCAGGATGTAAATTATACTTGCTCCAACAGCGACGGCCTCATGATCTTGCACAACACTATGGTGTCCCACACATACAGGAATACATGTGTACTTGTCATCATACTCTCCTACATACACTACTATTGTCTCAAACACACTCTTTCACTCACAGACTCAGATTATAGCTTTCCTATGACAGGATATGTTAGAGAATCTCACCCACACACAATTACTCTATGCCATTCTGTCACACATTCACCACTATGAGTGTGTAATTGTGTTTGTAAAAGAGTATGGTGGTGTATGTGTGCAAGGGCAAGTCTGATTTATGATCTAACAGTCTCTCGTAGTGACAGTTGTATAGCAGTACATAAATCATGAAGAGTAGTATTTGCATGAAATTGGCTACAATTATGATATTGAATGTAGATTGAAATCTGTCGAAGGATCAGTAACGGGTTAGGCATGTTGGTTACTGCTGTCTGAGGCTACGTTTTTTTAATCTGTGCTGCTCTATGTACTGCTGCCTGCATGTCTGCACAGTTAACAGCGCGCGCACACACACACACACACACCAGACAAAGCTCCATTGTTCTTCCGCCTGGTAGGCTCGCTGTGGCCTTAAAGTGTAAACAACTGAGTGTACAATATCTACTTGTTCCTGTTGGGTTCCCCGCTCAGCTGCTGCTTTGTGATTTGCTCACACTTTTCCTGTCTGAATTTCACTATGACAGAACAAAAATAATGATAGGAATTATTAAAAATATTCCACAGTAACATTAATTCTTATTTATATATCTATACAATCTTAACAAAAATAATGTTAATCTACATTAGAGCCATGCTAGCCTTGCGCCTTTCCCCACTTTGTCCAAAAGGCAGATCTGTGAAGGCATCAACAGAGCAGAGCTACTGGTGTATCTGTATCCACTGCCCCTGTGCTGTATCTACTCTCCACCTTACAAAACGGTTCTTCTCTACAGACTAAAAATACCTTCTTCCTCCCTCTGAAATCTCACTTTCTCTCTCTAATACTTCATGCCTTACACTGTGAGTAACTGTACACAGAAGAAGAGGAGGGAGATGTCCAGTAGCTGCTGAGGGAAAGAGGAAAGATGCCAACTGTCTCAGGTTTTTAGTGCTGACTGACTGGATTCTTTGCTAAGCAAAGCAAAATAATTCGGCAACACAGATGCACAAGGTAAATGAGAGCAAGTGCAACAGTAAATGTCTGTGGCTGCTATGCATGTATGCATTTCTTAGTTCTCAGGAAAATAATGAGATCAGCAGAGTGCTGACCAGTCTGCAACCGCGGGATAAAGCACAAATGGACAGCATGTGTTTGTGACAGAAAAAATGATGTTGGCAGCAGTTTTTACAACCCGGATCTACTACTGCAGTGACCGCTTTCACCTTGTAAGACAGACAGACACACCCACCAGCTAACATGTGCTGAATTTATTTGCAATGAGTGTTAAATAGAAGATAATAATAAATTAATAGATATATAAATAAATATAATACGTAAGTACACATGCTTATTTGCATACCAGCTCTCTGTATTGAGTCTGTCAGGATCCTGTCAGCAGTGTCGTACTTGGTATGGTAGATGAAACCGTTTTCAATGAAAGCCAGATCAATTCCTGTAAAAAATTAAATACACATATACATAGAATTTGCTTTTTTTTTTTAAAGACACAAAATAAAACCATCTTTGCTTTGTATGTTGATCAGCCACTGGATTTTTATTTTCAACCCTGACACAGAAAGGCTCCATACTTTCATGACCCATTTCTATACTTTACTCTGAAGATTGTTCAGCATTACCTGGGATGTTACCAAAGTCCCTGTAGATGCGGAAGTCAGTGTCAGAGGGGATGATGCCACTCTGAAAGACCTCCTGGCCGACCACAGAGGCAAAGGGGTGTTTGGCAGCTTGAACATAGGCCTGGACCAGCCACGGGTTTTCTGGACCTGTTGGAGAGGAACAGGAAGAAAATGGTTTGAGGATATTTTACATATTGGACTGTTATCTCACTTTCCTAGGTATTGGCACAAAGGATGATCATTCTGAAGAAAGGGTTTATCACCAGGGTTCTATAATCATGTCCTTTGCTGCCTTGACTACGAGCTATTTTGTTGGTGAAGGCTACTTACTTGGCACACTTGTGCCAAGTTTGTACACTTGTGCCAAGTAAGTGCATTAAATAATGTCTAAACTAAAATAATAAAACTACACCAGCACTCTGCACATCTGTAACAGCAAAAACTGCATTGCATTAAATTTGCAAGGTTTCACAATTACTGCAGAAAGAAATATTGATGGTGGGTGGACACAGAAACATATGCAAAACAAACAGGGAGAGAAAACATGCTTACAAATCAGAACAATGTATCAAACACAAATATACCTGTCTGAAAAACAACCTCCTTGCCCCCAACACCTGCAGCCTCCAAGTTAATGAAGGCTCGCACCTGCTTGGCCCAGGGATGCTGAGTAATGAAACCGTGACTAGCCTGGAGAAGAGAAGGAGTAAAAAAGAAAAAGAGATAAAAGTAAAAATGTAACAGAGAAAATAAGGAAAACATAAAGAAAGGATACGTTTTTAATTAAATGACAATCCAAAGTGGTGAAGGCAGGCTAGTTCAAACATCCAGTGTAAAATATGTTTCCCTGTCACTTGATTTTACCTGCAAGATATTTTCTTCTGCCCCATTAAAGAGGAAGATAACTCCATAAGGAAAAGGAGTAGACTGGTTGGCCAGAGAATGGAGGACTTCCAGCATCACTGCACAGCTCACTGCATCATCACTGGCACCTAGACAAGGAAACCAGTGTATGTGTGTCAAAAATACTAAAAAGCTGCACAGTTTGGGTAATGTGAGCTCCGACTTGCCTTTCACATTTGTATCAGGCAACAGAAGCTTGGCCTGGCATTCACACACAGTTATCCAACTGTCATGACGCAGTGGCTCGGTTTTAAGATTAGGACACATGCAGATGATTTTAACTCTGAAGTACTTCAGGATAACACAAATCCACGAACACATGTGAGTGGAAGGGAGTAGGCTCTGTGCGCAAACATGTGAAGAATGTGGCAATCTGGTAGAAACCTAGCTCCCACTGCCAATATAGTGGCGAGTGCACAAAGGGAAGGGGGTACTAGTGAGAACTAACTAAGAAAAGACCATGTGAACAGGGCATGTGATGCGGAAAGATTAGACGGGTTAGTGGTGAGAAACTATTTTCTGAGACTAAATGCAAAGAAAGGAGAAAAAAAATGCCCAAAGATCAGAGAGCCGAACTGAGACATCATGTGCTCCGGATTTCTGAATTGAATGTGTTCATGAGATAGGGGTGGGAGCCTGTTCACTGTCTGTCTGGGTACCATTCATTCTCCTATTGCCGGCACTTGTGTCAGCTACATATTAATCCTTGTCCCCAGAAATCTCTGTGAGAGCTCATAAGATGGCAAGTACAAAGCAAAGCCTGAATAGTTCATCTGTGCACATAATAACTTATGTGTGGAAAAAAGTATGTTAAAGTAAACACTTTGACTTAAATGAGCAGTTTGCTGTCTGACTGCTTGCTTGTACATACGCGCAAGACAATGTACTACCTCTTTATTCTTCCTCTTTTTTCCCCCCATTATTATTTTTTGCATTACAAAAGTGTTTAGAATTCCAAGAAATCAAAGGCTTGGCCTGCTGCGGTGGACATAAAAGTGTATGTGTATCTTCCCGGTCCACACCTCTTGGATCAATTTCCTTTTGCTAGTGAAGCTGTGCGAGCATGTGTTTGTTCATGTGAAGTGGGACAACATGTTTTTCTAACAGGCTGACGGGTGTGGAGTAAAACATTGAAAGTTCCTGAATTAAAACAAGACAAAAGAATGACTACATACCACAATGTGCTACCAATCATCAACAAACACTGCGCTGTCTAGATATGATCCCCTGTTTGCTCCAAGTAGCTTCCTGTTAGAAGCACAATATGGCTTTATGCAGTAATTTACAGGAAGTATTGTGGATGCAAATCTTCTGGATTGGCTTGCTATGGCTGTCTAATTTCCACATGACTACAGTGGAATACATGGATCGCATGCTGGACAACTATCGCTTGTACTGTAAACTATGTGAGGGGAAAAAGCTGCAGTCCACAGCCATGCTAGAGCTAACTGCTCTCATGCTTACATGCAAACGATGACAATGCTAGCATGTTCAAATTTAGCAGGTATAATGTTTACTATATTCAACAGCTACGTTTTGGTTGGAAGTTTGCTGGTATTTGGTCATAAAGCAAAGTATGAACTGTAAACGTAAATAAACAAATTGAAATGTGAGGGGATCAAAGTTTACAATTCATCCTCTGGGTACTCTGTTTAATTCATTCAAAGACTGATATTTAAACGTCTTTTCCTTTCTGGTATTCCAGGTTTGGCAAATTGTTGTGTGAATGTTTTCTGCATGTACCAACATGCAACTGTGTGCTAGACCTGTTCATCTAAAGCTCAGTCACTTTTATTGTCTTCAGCTTGCAGCAGAAGTCTTCAAGAGAGGAAGGAATGTTTTTGTACCTGGACTGTTGGCCACTGTGTCAAAGTGGCAGTTGGCTAGCATGAGATGCTGCGTACCGCCCTTAGGCTCCAGCCTCACAGCAATGTTGGTGACACGGTCATAGAAGCTGGTGAAGCCTCCAAGAAAGTCAATGGAAAAAGAGCCGGTGGGACGCTGCACATCCACCGTGAGCTGATGGGGGCCCGCTGCGGTCTCAACACGGATTTTCTCAATCTGCTCCAACAGGTAGCCCACTGTCAGGACTTCATTCTCCGGGCTGCCCACTGGCCGAGCGCCGACGCTGGTGATCTGCTCCAAGTGCCGTCTAGATTGTGAGGCGAGGAAAGATTGAAAAGAGCGAAAGAGAATATTGTGATGCGGTTCAACTGTGAAGGGGCAATAAACCATGCCTGCTTGTTCCAACTAATTTCTACCCTGGGGAATCAATAAAGTATTTCTAATTCTGATTCTGATTCACAACATTACAGAATTTCTTATTAATTCCCTTAAGTTTCTGTAGGACTATAGCTACTGACAGTGAATCATTGTATGTATGTACATATGTGAGGTTATAGTCCACGGCTTTCTTTTTAAAACCACCATGAGGTTTAAACTTAACTTAGATTAAATACATTTTCTGTGGGTGTGTTTGCTGACATGGTTGCAAACACACAGTTTGAGCATTTTTGTGAGGGAGAAAGGTCTCTTCTAAATGCACCATATAGGAGAGTGGACACTTAAGTGCTATGCTTACTGACACTTAAATGATTAGCTGAAGTGAAACCAGATTCAAGTTCAGATATCTCTCTATAGACTCTGCTTATGGACTCGTCTTGAATGTCAATGCGTTAAAACATTTTCTCGTCTCAGGTAATCGTAGCTGGTTCATAAGCAGATAATCTCTTTTTTAATCTTTAAAGAGTTGAGACAAACAAATATTCGTTTCTTGTGTATGTATATTTGTTGTATACAGGTTAGCAATGCTACAGCATACAGTTTAGTGTTTTATTGGTGGCTCCAAAAAGACAGAATCCCATTCACTGTATATGGAGGAACTTATTTGATTCAATTTTAATAACTGATTATTCATTTAACTAATTGAACTAGCAAAAAAGACAAGAAGTGCTGTGAATCCAGCACCTTAAATGTGAAGATCTTTAGCTTAGTAAGTTAATTATCTTTGTGCTTTGGACTGATCTGAATATGTCAACTCCCCAGCACTCGAAACCAAGGATGTCCCATTGTCCCGGGAACAATAAATATAGCTCCTGGGACAAAAAGTTTCTGGGACATTCTGGGACAGCAGAGAAACTTCTCATTACAAATTATTATGTTTATGCGACATGGAATATATATCATTTTCAAAAATGTGCAGTGGCACTGTGTTCCCAACAGTGTTCCCAAATTGGCGACTTTCTCTCTAGATTCAGCAACTTTTCAGACCCTCTTAGCGACTAACAACAAATTTAGCAACAAGAGGAGAAATATAATCAAATATATTATATCGTCATTAATTCTCTTCTGCCAAAAGCATCGGGGTCTCTCCCTCTCCTCTTGTGCCAGCAGTCATTAGCTGTGGTGTGTGGGGCATTGTTCCTATAGTAAATAGTATGTTTGACTTTTTCTCTGGATCTCTGGATTAGGGTGTTCCTCGAGTTTACATGTGTTTGTTTGAGCTTGTCAATATTTAAAGAGTTTGTTTGATCTTTCTCTCTTCTCTTCTTTTTTTAAAAATGTTTTTACTTCAAATATATGATCTCCCTTTAGTGAGTTTATGACTATTTATCTTAATAATGTTCAAGGTGTGCATATGTAAATATCACTGTATACCAATAAGAAACAGGTTTGCATTTGCACTGCAGTTTGCAATGATGTATTTATTGATGCAACTGTTAGAAATAAACAAGAAACAATTACTACAATTAACTTGTAACATTAAAAGTGTTTAAGAGAAAACACTGACTGGAAACTCACTTGGAGTTAAGAAATATACAAGTCAGAAAATTGGGTGTCATCCCTCTTTCACATAATGATCTGGGAAGAATTAATTTATTTTCCATTTATTTCAAATTAATTCATTATTAAAAACAAACAGGGTGTAACCAGTCTTTGTTATGTTAGCTGAGTCCTGAGTTTGGACCACTGCCCCGACTCCGACGATTAAGGTATGCCATGTTTCTGTATTACTTTGACCTGATCTTCCTAGTCACTGCACAGACTCCCTTAGGAGGTGGAAACAGGAAATGAAACCTAGCAAACCCATACGGCACAGAGAAAGGAAAGACAGATGCTTTTCCTCATCTTTTCTTTTCTTAAAAAAAAACAGCAGCTGTTCAAGAAAGCCAGCCGCTGCCACCCCTGCCCACACCAGCAGTGCTAACTGATGCTCACAGCCACCAAATGATAACCTTTGTCATACAAGTATGGTGGGTGAAGCCATGTGTTGTAGTCCAGCTGTTACAAGGATCAAATACAGCAAATGTAACACAAAACTATAACAAAGTCCTCCCCTTACATGTAGTTGTCTTGTAGTGCCAAATTATATTAAAGATGTCTGAACTGGGGCACTCTGGTAGCTCACCTGGTAGAGCTGGCACCCCATATAACAAGGTTATAACAAGGCTCAGGCCAGGGGTTTGAGTCTAACCTGTGGCCCTTTGCTGCAAGTCATCCCCTCTCTCCCTCTCTCTCACCCATTCCTGTACATCGTTAGCCGCCCTATCTATGTCTGAACTGCAGCTTTCATTCTCTCGTCTTTACAGCAAGCTTCTAAAGGCACCATTTTATGCGAAGGCTCATAATTCAAATCTGGATTGGTGGGCCATGGACTCGTGAAAGCAATGATTGTGACCAAAGAAGCTCAGAGCCGTAATCAGTTCAAATGCAGCACGCCTGACTCATTTATAAAGCAACCGGCCAAATGTTGGCAAATCCCGTTGCCCAGCACTTTGAAAAGCTCAACTGCAGCCCTGCAGACCTCAGATTCAGAGCCATAATCCCTGTCTCTCCTTCTGACAGGGATGGAAAATCTGATAAAAGCTGCTGCACTGTCAAGCACAGGAGCTTGTTTTATCTGGAGATGTACAGGATACTGTTTCCTCTGTTATGTAGGCTGCATATTATTATTATTATTATTATTATTATTATTATATCATGTGTAAAACTTTAAAACCTTTACACAGCAGTTGATCTTCAAAACTGCCACATTGAGTTTTCTGTTGTCACTCAAATCAATCGACTAATTGTCAGTTATTGTCGTAGGACAGCAGTTGGTGATCATTTTCAATATAAATCAATCAGGTGATCTTTTTTGATTAAGTTTTTAGTCATTTAGTCTCTAAAATGTCAGAAAATAGAAAGAAATGCCCGTCACAAAGCTCCCAGAGCCCAAGCTGATGTCTTCAATTTGCTTTTTTTTTTCCAATAAAGAGCCCACAACCGAAAGATATTCAGATTACGATATATTATCAACTAACTGCACGTACACAACAGTGGTTTTACAATTTTATCTTTATGAAATGACTCAAACGACCACTTCTATATGTCAGTTTTCCTCTTAAAATACCCACCTGTTTACTTCCTGTCCTTTTAATTTCAGAATGAGAATCACTTTTATTGACCAGGTATGTGAACACACACCAGGAATTAGACTCCGACTAGGCAGAAATAAACAGGACAACAAGCTCAACAAAACAGACATAAACTACTATGTATATTTGTGCTACAATATCTCAACGCTGTATCTCCTGTTTATTGTTGTGATGCATGATGTTAGACACTTTAAACTGCCTTTGCCTTACCTGCCAAAAACTTTTTCACATGTTTGGATTCAGAGTTTCTGGAATAACAGTCTTGTTTTTTTTTGGTATCTCTCGGTCATTTAAGCAGCAGCTTTTGACTTGTTTTAAGGCTACCTCATATCTAAAGATCAGTCCTAGGGGCTGCTGGTACCTGCTGGCAACCGTTAAATACCGTTAAAGCACCTGTCTACCTTGGTAGGTAAAGGTGGAGGTGGAAAGGGAGGAGACACCCGGTAGTGGTTTCTAGGCGGGTCTGTTGCCAAACTAGAGGAAAGGTTAGCCAGGGCTGCTGCTGTTGCTGCTGTTGCTTCGAGACCGTTAGCCAACATTTTTAAAGACAAAAAGAGGCGAGTGTTACATTAAAGCAAAGAGAGGGGGGGAGGTTAAAAACTCACCTAGCTCTCACTGCGTTGAACTCGCCGGTCAGCTTCCCAACAACGAGCTGCTGTAGCGATAAATGAACAAGTCCCCACAGCACCAAAATAAACACAGAGACCAGGGAAGCTGCCAGCCCTTCCCGCAGCAAGTACAGGCTCACTTCGGGCTTCCTCTTCGGGTCACCGTTGTAGCCGTTGTTCCCGCACCGGTCCCGGGAACCGTCGTTATCTTGAGCTACATAATTCTGTGTCCCGAAGGGTTTTATTCTCCTGACAGTGGTCTCACTCTCCATTTTTGAGCCAGCGGTATATCAGCTGCAAGCGTCGCTCTCAGGCGTCGCTTTTTTTTTTTCTCCTTTTTTTTTTTTGCCTGGCCAAACGATGGATCGCGCAGAGGGACAAATTTAAATGAGAGGGCGGGTGGACGGACAAGGCGCTTGGGAAATGAAAAGCAAAGGAGGAGTAAACGCTTGTGTAATCACCACCCATAAGCGCATGAGACACAATTAAGTGAGCAGTTGGGCAGTAATGTTGTTGATGCTTTAAAGGATCAGTATTTAGGCCGACATTCGCTTTGACAGGAATAATAAGGAGCTTCTCAGCTAAAACTAAATTCACTTCTCAGATTGTCGAACTATTCCTTTAACGTGAACTCAGTGAACCGCCTGTATAAGTAATGCAATCCAGCAGAAAAGCTCTGCAAAAAAAAAAAGAAATCCTACATTTGTGAGATTTATAACAAGTATTCAGATTATTTACTAAGTTAAAGTAGCAGTATCATAATGAAAAAGTACTATATTGCATGCATGAGTAAGACAAATGTAAGTATTTGCAGCAAAATGCACTGAAAATACCAAAAACAATAGACAAAGACAAGGAAATTTGATTTATAGTTCCTTTTAACAACAAAAAACGTTTATGTAGACAATATGGTCCCTTTCTAAGTGTATTATATATTATATTATTGCATTTTAATCATGGATAGATTACCATATAAGTAGCATTGTTACAGCATTAACCTTACAATGTATAATATTTTGTATGTAAAATATCCTCCGTAACATAGAGCTGTCAAATAAACACTCAAATAAAATACCTCAAAACTGAATTTTTTTTACATCCCACTTTATAGCTTGTTGACTCAACTACTCTATAGTTAGGTGTGTAGCTGTATGGGAATGCATTATGTTACAATATTTTTTGACAAAGTAATAGAAACACCGTTTCCAGATTTTGTCCACCTATTCTTTTCTTGGTTACCTGAATATTAAAACTAGTCTAGTGTCCATTCATATTTCTAAGTGTATTGACATGCATATCCAATATGCAGTTTCAGTGTGCAGACTGCCTTTAGCTGTATAAAGTTTCCTTATGGAGCACATGAAAAATGTAATATGGGGACATAAAAGTACATTTTACCATTAAGCTTTATATGAAATATTTTACTAACTCCTTTCAGCTAATAAATAAATCGTTGTAAAAAAAAAAAAAACAGACATCAACATTAAGTATTATTTAATTGGAGTGATATCATTGCTGGCTGAAGTGAGATCATGATGTGATTTACCAGAGGCCTAATGCTGCTGCTTTGTCTCCATCGTGTGGACAAGATGGAAGTACAACACGAGGTGTTTCCTACAGCCATTGCACACTGGCTTTTCTATCAAAATCCTTTTTAAAGTATTACCTAATATTTTGTTTCTACGTTTAAATCCATACTGCATACAGCAAGCTATAAGCTCATTTTAAAAAGCCCTGCATTCAAATGTTACTGAAGTAAAAGTACAGAGCAATCAGCAACAGAATGCACTTAAAATATCACAAATAAAGGTTATTGACTCGTTATAAAGAATGGCACTGTTAAATTATTATGTTACTTTTATTGATACAATAACTTTAATGTGCTAGTGGGTCTTTATAGAATGATGGATGATTCAATAAATAACCTTCAACATGAATATGCCAGGTAACTAGTAACTATAGCTGTCAAATAAATGCAGTAATACAATAGTTCCCTTTGAAATGTAATGGAGTATAAGTACCACACAATTTAAATAATAAAGTAAAGAACAAATACCTAAACAAAAACAAAAAATGTCTTTCTCTGTCCTTGGTACTTTTCCATTAGACGCTCCCATGTAAACACAAAGCTATCCTAACGCGAGCTAACTTAAACTATCTTAATTTAATAATCATTAATAATCAAGAAGGACACGTAGTTAGTTTAGACTATTAAAATTAATTGTAATATATATACACCATAAACATATTTTAAAGGCATTCCAGATAGTTTCCGATGTGTTATTGTTATTGTCAGTTCCCTTTACGTGAAGTTACGTTTCTTTACGAGACGTTTACTTTGCGTTTCTGGTTAGCGTTAGCTTGTTAGCAGGAGTGTGAAGCTGTGTATAAGCAATCTGGCTGTAACCATGGTTTCCTCTTTCAAAATAAAAGTCCAGGCCTTTGTTTTTAAGTAAGTAATGGGAAGTCATTTTAAACTGTCACGTAAAATCATAAAATGTGGATTTATTCTGTGTTAAGCCAGGGATTATTTCTATGTTACATTGGTTTTTTTTAACAGAGTTCTGGCTGAAAATCCTGCTCACCTAAAATGCCCCAAATGAAATGCAGAGGGACCAACTACAGTTTTTAACCTTGGAAAAATCATCATCTTAACTTAAGGTCCAGTTATTATCTCTTCAAGCATCTTTCGACCTCATCTCATGGTCTTCATTGGGAGAGCAATCTCAAGCCACTAATGAAAGCTTGGAAAAAGCTAAAAGTAAAGATTATTTTGTCAAAACATTGTATACTTGTGAACTGATGTGATACCACAGACAACCACACACTTTTTGTTTTTCTTCATAGGATTCATTAACATTTGGTGAAAGTACCTCCTGGTGGATATTATGGAAATGTTTAAATTTGACCTTGGACTTATGCCCTCACTTGTTCTGTACATTCTGAATACAGTCCTGTTGTTTTTTAGAAGTTAAATATAATATATAAGACATAGCTGAATAAAAGTATATCACCTGTGTGCTTAACTTCTGAATTATTCTTTTTTTTTTTTTTTTTTTTTAACATTTTCTGGTATTATACAGCTATAGCGATAATGTAACTGGTCATTTATAATCCAGCATATTTTGTCATATCTACAAAGACTCTGATTTATGTTAATCTATATTAGTATTACAGAACATTTACACGTTTAACGATGTATGACAAGCCATCCGACCTTTATTTTGAAGTCGAATAAAAGCCCTAACGGAAGTGTGTAATTTCCATTGCGGGTAACTTAACTCCTGTATTTTTTTTTTTTTAACCAGCTCCCGACTCTCCGACCGACCACTACCCAGCAGAGCATAGCAGAGAGCAGTCAGCCCGTCGTGTCTCTACCCGAGGCCGGATGGTAAAATCCAACCTCCAGCGGATCCTAAACAGTCATTGCTTTGCTCGCGAGAAAGAAGGAAAACAGCAGTCTTATACTACCATGGCGGACTTGAGTAGTGGTATTTGTGACATGATTGGGAAGTAAGTAAACGATGGGGGGGAAAAAAAAAAAAAAAAACCTCACCTAGCTAACTGCTAACCGTGATGTGGGGGAGGGGTGGCTAAGCTAACCTAGATAGCATCCACAGAAAGCGGAAGTAAAACACGGTTAACTTTAAATGTACAGCTTTTATGTAATTCACTATATCACCAAACACCCCCCGCTGCGTTACGTTTTTGTGTCAACCGTAGATGTAGCTTTATTTTTTTGACGTGTCATATTAAAATAAGCTAACGTGACGGACATTCAGTCGCTGGCCCGAGAGACAGTTTGACTAGCGTTAGCGTTAGCATTAGCGTTAGCATTAGCATTAGCGAACGTTAGCTCAGAACGCCGTCGAACTTGTGGTACGTCACTGCGGTTAGCTAACTGCGCCAGCGAGCTAACCCGTTAGCATTAATATTCTGCTACAGTTCACATCAATGATTGTGTGTGTCTGTGTGTGTGTGTGTGTGTGTGTGTGTGTGTGTGTGTGTGTGGAGACTACTAACAGGTTTTGTAGTTCAGTTTGTCGTGGAAGCCATTGGTGTACGCAAAAAAAAAAACAAATCGATAACAGACGAGGGATTTAAAACAGAATTATTATTAACTCATATTTAAATCCAACACGACCAATAAAATATTGTTAGTTTACGATGAACAATTCAAAACATCAAACATTTGTAACTTTTTTTTTTTCTTCCGAAGAGTGCCTGTTAAACAGCGTACAGACACTTCATCAGCAGACAACCTGGCCTTAACTCGTGTTATTATTTAACTATGATATTTGGTGGCTTCAGGTTAAGGCAGAAGAGAATAATGACTCCAGGGTGTCAGTAAAGTCTCCAGGTGAGCACATGTTTTCTGGCCTCGTTGATCTCGTGAGCTGACAACGGAGGTCAGGTTGATTATTACGCAACTGACAGTTCACTGCGGCAGCCTCTTTGACGGCAGGGAGAAGTTGCCGTGCTGTGGTGCAGTGGTCCAAAAAGATAACCCGCTATCTATTAAGGGACAGTTTATCGTCTTTATTTTTTTTAATTTATGGTTTTATCAGCTTGGGCCCAGTGCCGAGTAGCCTTTGCACGAGAAGGTGGATTAACTTCGGTGCTGAATGATTTTACAGCCTCATCATTTGAAAGGTTGATCTGGTGTATAAAACACGGATTGGGAACTTAGCTGTTGTAAGGAAGTCACACAAGAAAGATATTTCGACTTTAACATGAAAGCTGCAGTGTGGTTAAATATAGTGTTGTATAATTGTATGTGAACTAGAGCAAATTATTAATTTGACTTTAGATTTTTCGATGGACAGAAAATTAATTTGCATCAAAAATGTATTTTTTTAATAATCACTGGTTCTTCTCAGACGTGAGTCTTTGATGCTTTTCTTTGTCAGATAGGAGAGTTCACTGGATATCTTCGGATTTTGGGGTGTTATTTGAATTAAAAATATTATTTTAATTAAATTGGACTGCTAGAAATTTGCATTTTTACTGTTATCAGATATAAAAAAAAGAAGATAAATTGATGATGAAAATTAGTTGCAGCCCTAATTTTGATAATCAGTTAATTTGTTTAAATTCTTGTTAAAGAAACAAACATTCTCGAGCTGAAGCTTCTCAGGTAAAATATATACATATAAATCTGGGGTTTTAGGAAAATATAATGTCTTTTTTCATGATTTTATATGCATAGTAAAGGACCCATTTATTGAAAAAATAACTTGCAACTATATCAGTGATGAAAATAACCATTAAATGCGGCCTCAATACAAACCCTACAGAGATCGGAACATGAAAACCTCTCAATTGCACGGCTTTGTCGGTGCCTTGGTTATGTGCGTA